TTATTTTTTTAAATAAAAAAAAAGTGGGGGAATGAGCTTAAATTATATTTATAATAATATAAAAAAATTAAAATAAAAAGAAAAAAGAAAATAAAAATATTTATGTAAGAAAATAATCTGAAAAATATATAATTTTTATTACACACTCGAAAACGAAAAAATATAAAAATAAAATAAAATAAGTATATCATTAATTTATAAATAAATCATTTTCTTTAGTAAAACTTTCGAAAGCATCTACAAAGTCCTAATCAGTAATATATTCTTGATCTTATTTAGCGCTATAAATAGCAGCCAAGTTTACAATAGACTACAAATCATAACCAGAATATCCTTCGCATAAATTAGATATATAATGAATTATTTCTTTAGAAATATTTTAATTTAACTATAAAAAAAATATAAAAAATAAATTACAAATATATAAATAAAATATATTTAATATTATATATTTATATTTATATTTATATATATATATATATTTAAATACATTATTTAAATGATAATTTATTATTTCTTTTCTCGAATTAGAATCTGGTAATTTTACATTTATACAAAAATCAAATTATTTAAAAATAATACTATCTAAAAGTTAATTACTTTCGACAATTACAAAAACATTATTATTTTAGAATACATCTTTTTAAAATAGAATATTTATAAATTCTACTTTGTTTTTTTCATAAATTATATAAATGATATCTTCCTGTAAATTTTTGATTTCTTTTAAATAATTTTTAAAATCAATAATTTAACATTTAAACTTTTTAAAAATTTCTTTTAACAATGTTGTTTTTCCACTTCCTTTTTTAAAATTAAATAAATAAATTTTATTTAATTTTAATAAAAAACATACCTTCATCTCCATATAATAATATTTTATTTTTATATTTAACTTTAAATTTTTTAAAACTATTTTTAAATTTTATTTAATAAAAATAATAACACCAACAAAAAATACTCTTAACTTCCTGCCTTTTATAATATGTTCTCCAGTTTAATTCTAGCTTCTTCTTATCCAAAAAAATTACATTCCATATTTAATTATTCGATAGTTTTTTCTTATTAAAATACTCTATAAAAAATATAAAAAAATATTAGAAATTTCTAAATACTTTTGATAAATTTTATAAACTAAAAAAGCACCAGTTAACAACATAACAGTCTTTAATTCTTTATAACTTTCAATTTGATTTGCATGAATATATTAGATTTGTGGATTTTCTCTAAATATTATTAAAAATAAAATAAAATTATTAATGTTGTTTTAATTACTATAAAATTTAAATTAAAACATTATTAGAGAGTAATGAAGCATTAGCTTTATAATATTAATCACCAGAAATAAATTTAAATAATATATCTTTGCCATTAATAACTATCTTTTAAATATATAAATAACAAAAACATATTTATTATTCAAATATATAACAAAAATACTTCAGAAATAACATTATATTTAATAGCTTTTAAAAAATTGCTTAATTTTAAAGAATCTACTTTCCCTGGTTTAGCAGCTTTTCCGAAATAATAAATTGATATTATTAATGCAGTAGAGGATGCAAATATTGATTTTATAGATTTTATTTATTTGTAAATTTATTTAAGATATTTCATTTGTATTATTAACTAATTTTAAATATTAAATTTTTTTAATGAAATTATATTGATATATATAATATATATTATATTTATTTATTTAAAAAAAAAATTATGCAAATTAAACTTATTAAATAAAAAAGTAAATATTATATAATTTAGAAAATAAAAATTTAAAAAAATTATTAAAAGGTTTAGTGGACATAATTTTTATTTTATATAAATATATTTAAAAATATATTAATATATTAATATATTAATAAATATAAATTATATTAATTCATATATATTTATATATATAGTTATAAATTATAATAAAAAAAAATTTTATAATTAAATTATATTTTATAAACTTTAATTATAATTTATTTTATAAATTATATTAATAATATAATATAAATTTAATAAATATAATATTCCTTATTTGTATATTATATTTGTTTAAATCATAATTTATATTTAAATTTATATATATACTATTTTTAATATAATAATTTCATTTTTAACACTTAATTTTTTTTTTTTTTTTTATTAATTTTCTTTTTATTTATAGAAAAATAATATCTAATTTATTAAAATAAATGTATATTAAATATTTTTATGATAATATCTTTTAATTATTATTTTTACTAATTAAAATATAAATATATAAAAAAAAGATATTATTTTTATAACTTAATAAAATGGATATCCTTAAATAAATAGACTAACTTGAGGCTAAATTAAGTATAAAATAATACCAAGACAGCGAAGTAGATCTAAAATAAATAGACGATAAAAATTTTAGCGTATCTTAATTTATTCGTTCAAATTTTTTACCAAATCCACTTGATGTTTTATAATAATTAGATATAAATAAGATGAATAAATGTATTTCTCATATATATGATTTATAAAAGGAGACTTGTGAATAAATAGCTATTTCAGTGGACTTAAATATAGATAAATATGTAAAAATAAGTACTAAATTTGATGATATGAAGGATTATTTTAGGAAAACAGATAATATATATAATAATATAGCGGAAGATATTTAGAAAAGTTAGTTAAATTGTAATAGGAAAATTGAAAAAATATAGGAGGTTTTGTAAAATTATTAGTTTGTTTGTTAATAGGAAAAATAGTTTTTTTAAATGAAAAAATTTGTAGAATTTCTTATAGGTTTGAAAAAATTAGTTCCAGATATTTCGTAAAAAAATTATTTCTAATTACTTCTATTTTGTAAAAATGTACATTCTTGTAAAAATCAACTTAAAACGAAAATAGAAGCAAATCTATAAACAAGAGAAATAGCTCATAAATATAAACTATAGCAATAAATAAATGAAATACAACATAATATAGCCAATATTGTTGATCAAAAATTAAGAAAAAAACTGCTTTTACCAAATAAAAGGCATTAATGCGTACTTTTAAATTGCTTTTTAATTTTAGATATGAAAGATATGGCAGAAAAAATAATAAATGATGTGGTTGTGAAACCTTATTTCGAAAAAGTTTTTTAAAAAATCATTGATATCAAAAAAAATTATATATCAGCAACTAAATAAGAATATTTAGAAAAAAATATGAATTCATAATTTAATCCATTTTATATACTAGATAATTCAATTTAAGAATTTATAAAATAAAATTATATTTAGTATATTTCTTTAACTGATTTTAAGGAAGGATAAGTATAAATATATTTATATATTTATATATTTTTATATTTATATATTTATATATTTATATATTTATATATTTATATATATATATAAATACATGTATTTTTATATATATATATATATTTTAAATAATTAGGATAATAAATATTAGTTATATGGTTATGATTTTATTAAAATAATATGGGATTGCATATATAGTTTTTTAAAAAAAGATGAATTTAATTTTTTATATTCAGTTGGTTAAAGTGATATTTTTTTATAAAACTATAATATGTTTGCGTAATTAATGGATAATTTAAAAAAATAATATAATATTACCAATAAATATATATTCATAAATGAAAATAAATATTTAGAAAGATGGAATACTAAAACATATTTTTATATAAAATAAGCTGAATTAGTAAAGGATTTCGAATAGCAAATAGATAATTTATTATAATTATAATAAATATAAAGATAATAAATATAATAATAATAATAATAATAATAATAATAATAATAATAATAATAATAATAATTATAATTTAGTATTTAATAAATGTAGTTATATACATTTTTAATGAGTTTTATTTAAAAATGTTTTGATAATAATACAACTTTTATTAAAAACGTAGGAATTAATTTTCTTAAATTAAGTCTTTAATTAATTTATAGATTTTCTTAAAAAATTTTATTATTTATTGAATATTAATAATAATAATAATAATAATAAGGTTAATATATATATTGACTTTATTATATATTTTTTTTTTTAGAAAATATTAATACTTTTGTATTTATTATAAATGATTTATCTGCATTAATTATAGATCTAATTTAATTTTATTAAAATTAAGTTATATAAATATTTAGTTTATAAGAAGAGTAATAAATAATAATTTAAATTTCTTTAGAAATTAAAGAAATCTTAAAGGAACATTTTGAAATTGTGCTTGATTTTATTTCTATTTAAGCTCTAAAATAGTCTTATGATAATATGGAAGTATTTATACCAATAAATAAATATATTATTTTATTATTATTAAAAATAAAGGCTTTTAATGGTATTTTAGCCAAATATAGAATGAATGTAAGTAAAGATATTCCTAAAAAAGCTTCGAATTTTATAATTAATTTATTTGATCCTTTAAATAAATTTATTTAATAAAATTCTTTTACTGATAATGTATAGATATAAATTAAAAAGAAATTCGCAAAAAAATTGTATTAGAAATATAAAGAAATAGAATAAAATATAATTTAAAATGTTTAAAAATCAGAATAATATAAATATCTTTAATAAAAAAATAAATTAGATGATCCTACATCAGATTACTTTAAAATAAGAAAATAATTAGAATTAGTAAAAAACTAAAAATATAAAGAAATTATATATAATTATAAATATTTTTTATATATATATATATTTTAATTTACTTTATTTTTATATATAGGATGATTTCGAAATAAATAAATATATAAAAGAAAAACTTTATGATAATAAATAAAATTGAGATATAATTTATATATATATATATATTTAAAATATTCAATTTTTATGAGATTTATAAATTTATTCAATTTCTTAAACATCCTGTATTGATCCACAAATTAGTCCTGATCTTTAATGTAAATTTTTTGGTTTAACATCGAGTATCTCCCCATCTCCTGTAATAGCTTTACCTCCTGCTTTTTAAATAATAAAAGAAATAGGAAAACATTCAAATAAAATTTTAAGTTTTCCTAACGGACTCTATTATTAATAATAAAAATATAAATATTTAATATATATATATATTTACTCTTTTATCAGCAGGATATAAATATATTCCTCCATAAAAAAGAGTTCTATGTATATCACATACCATAGATCCTACATATCTCAATTAATATTTTTCAGGAGAAATCGAAAATTTCTTCGAATTTATATATTCTTTAATCGAATCATCCCAAAAAGTTGAATTACCTTCATTTATTGAATAAACAGTTCCTTTATCTGGAGTTTTAACATCTTCATGTGTTAAAATAAACTCTTTGATTTAAGGATCTAACGAAAACCCATTAATATTTTCCCTTGTGGCCAGTATAAAATGCGTAGAAGAGCCATATAGACAATATCCAGCTGCGAAGATATTATTTCCATCTTAAAGTATGTCATCCATTGTTATTTTTGATTCATTTTATCTCTACCATATGCAAAAAATAGATCCTATAGAAATATTGGATTCAATATTAGTTTTACCATCAATACCACTAAATGAAACGACAAATTTTCCTTAATCTTTTTAATCTATTTAAATTGGTTTTTCATCATCTATACTGGATATAATTGCACATTATTTACTTTAGGTTAAACAGTTTATAAATGTATCATTTGCTATAGTGTTTATGTCTTATTGGTTTTAGTTTAAATGAATTTATTTAGAATTTAAATGGGCTATACCGGATTATTTTACTTTAGATGATATATATTTACAGGCTGTTTAGATTTATTGGATTAATATTATGAAATCTGATGTATATGTTTAAGTGATTTATTATTGCCAGTTTAATAGGGATTGTGCTATTGTAGTATGGATTATAATATTATCGTCTAACATTTTTATTTTTTTTTTAATAAAAAAAAAATATAATATAAAATGTTTGCTTTTTTTTAGAATTTTTTTTTAATAAAAAAAATAATAATTATAAGTATTATATTTATGAAAGATAACAAATTTAAAATTTTATATAATATTTATATAATTATTTTTATAATATATATATAGTTTTAAATATTAATAAAATAATAAGAAAAAGAAAAAAAAAATGACTAATAAAAAAAAATTAATTCTATAATGTTTCGATTATTTCATATTTCCATATTGTTTAATGTGATAAACAATTAAATTTTATCATTATTCTAATTAAAAAAATAGATAGGCTATATTTTTAATTACAAACATTATAATATTTGTAGTCATTATTAATTAAATAAAAAACAGAATAAAAGCAAACTAAAATAAATATTCTAAAAAATTAATTCTCCTTTATTTATTACTATTATAATCTTTATGTAAATTAAAATATAAAAAAAATAATAAAAAAAAAAAGTTTTTGAATTATGGAATATATTTAAATAAATATAATATTTTTTTACTTTTTTTATTTGATATAGAATATATATTATTCTTATTTAGTTTATTATTTCAGCTTGAAAATTATTAAAGTATAATAACCTTAAAAATTATAAAATTAATACACGTAAGAATAGTACTTTTTATTTTAATAATATTCTATACTTCAACATTAATTTATAATATATATACAAATATAAAACATTTTAATGAAAATAATATATGCAAAAGTATTAAAAATTAAATATAATAATAGATAATATATATATATATATATATATATATATATATATTATATAGATAAAATATTTGTATATACAAGAATTTCTAATTTCGTTATTTCATTGATTTTTCTTTTTATTGGTATATTTTTTAATAATTATATTTTTTTATTACAAATTTTAAATAATATATAAGGTAAACATATTTAAAAAAGAGTTGATTTCATAACGTTATCAGGAATAGAAAGAAGTTATATTTATTACAAATAATTATCTAAACTATAGTATTTAAAATATTAAATAAAATTATATTTATATAAATATTTATTATCATTTTTTATTTATATAGAATATTAATTTTCTGGAGTATAATTGCTTAAATATTTTATTTAATTGGAACATTTTATTTATTTTATAATGGAAATGAAAGTTGTGAATTTATATATTAGGGATAAGAAAATAAATAAAAACTATATTTATACTTAGATTGTTTAATTTTATTTATATATAGATTAATGTCATATTTTATATTAGTAATTACTACTTTATTAGTATTTTGGTACAAAAAGCCTTAAAATATATTAAACAAAGTATAAACACAAAAAAAAATAACATAAATAAATATAAATATATATATATATATATATATATATATATATTTATATATTGATATTAATAGAGTTTTTTAGAAGATTATATGGTTTAATAAAATACAGATTTATAATAAAAATTATATTGCAATTCATTAGGTCATTAGAGAAATATATAATCTAATTCATCTTTAGATGATAAATCACATAATTAAAATAGTTATATTAATAGTTTAAGAAATTCAAGAAATTTTCCATCAACAATTATTTCTACAAAAATTTAAGATTTTTAAATATCTACATTATCTTCTTAATTTTAATTAATTTTATCTTCTAATAATAATGATGAAAATAACTATTATAATTACTAAAATATGTAATGAAAAATTATAAATAAATCTATATTTGTAATTATATATAAATAATTCATTATATATACATTTATATAAATATATTTATTTTCTATTCAATTAATAATTTAGATATTATTCTTTTTTTTAGGAGATTATTATTAATTCATTTTTAATGCAAGTATCGGATTTCTTTTAAAGTTTATAAATTTTGATTTTTCAAAAATATTTCTCATTTCAAAGCCTAACATGTCAATTAGTTTATTATTAATTTCATTTTTTTCCTTTTCTTAACATATTTCTTCATAAGCTTCATATAATCTTAAATAAACTCTCATTTTTTACTATTAAGTAGTGTTTTTTTTAGCTAATTCTTTAAATCTACTTACTACTTTTACCATCATGTGTGGAAATTTAACCCTAATTTTATTTTTTTTAAACTTTTTTTAACTTTTTCCTTCATTTGTTTATGATAACTCTTCACTTATAAATACTCTAGAAAGCTCTTTGGTATCATTTTCTTTTACTTATATGACTGTTTTAGGGAAAAAATTAAATAAAATCATTTAAGATTATGTCAAGAATATTTATTTAAATTTTTCTATTTCTTTAATTTTATTGAGAATATTAAAAATATCTAAATCTTTTTTTATCTATTCTTAGGCTTTTTCTATCAACAAAACAGTTTTAGTTCTACAAAACTTACCACAAGTGATTTAATTTATAAAATAAAAAATATTAATTTATAAAGACTTATTTCTTTATATTATATGTTCGAATTCTTTGGCTAAAAATTTTTTCCTGTCTTTTTTATCATTTTAATTATTCTAATGTTATTAACTTTAAATCATGTAATCTGATGTTTTTGCTTATATATTTTTTGATATTTCTATTTATGAATACATATTATATGGTCTTAAAGGCGAATTTAATGGTTCATATTAATTAGTTTCTTATATATTATTATTATTTTATTAATTTTGAATATTATTATTTATTTATTAATTTATTTTTAAAATGTTTTAATTATAATTAATATATTTGCTTTAATTGTTTTCTATAAATTTATTATTTTAAATAAACTAACTATTAATATTATTTTTTGTATTTTAAGTGTTCTATTCTTATTAATATATTAACTTATTTTTTGTATTATTTTTTTTTGTATTTTTTTTCTATCTAAAATTATATTTTTTTTTATTTTAAAGTAAGTATTTTAACTTCTTTTTCTTATTAATTATTTATATTTTTATTTATATTTTCGACATTTTTATTTTTTTCATTTACTATAGAATTAATACTTTAAATATATTATTATTATTATTTTTCTTTTATATTAAAAAAATTCTTATTTTATTTTTTAACATTATTTCCTTCATCTAAATCAAAATCATATAATTTATTAGCCAATTCAATCATATAAATATACTCATTATAATAACTAACCAAAAAAGCCGAAAAAATTAAAAAAGCCTAAGCAAAACCACCTACATAAGCTATAATCTCATCTATTTTTTGAAATTTCCTATAAATATTGTTCGTATAATAACTTCTATTAATTTAAATATCTAAATATTCATCATAATTCCCTAATAAATTGCTCTCTCTAAACCCACTTAATTGTATATATGGGAAATTTTAATTATTAATATCCTCATAAGGCATTAGACTTTCATCAGTAAAAATATTGAATTCCGAAAGAAAGAGTTCCACTTTCTTTAAAAACTTACCCGGTTATATATAAAAAAATAAATCTGCAGTATTTAAATAACTAAAATAATTAATAATAAAATATATATATATGCAAAAATACCTAGTTATATAATTTTTTGATAAATTAGGATTTACAGCATAATTAGGTACAAAAATCTCAACTTCAAAGTATTTATTTTAGTCTTCTATAAAAATCTTTTCTAATTCTTCCTTTTTTCTACATTTAGGTCTCCACTTCTCACTTTTAAACTATATAGTAGTACACTTTTTTATTTTTAACATCAATTAATCATAACTTTCTAATCCCCAAGCCCCTTAGACATAATATTATTCATTTAAAGGTGGACAAAGGTATTAGTCGAGGCCTTTTTCATCAAAAACTTACTTCCAGTCTATATTATAGGCCTGTAAGTCAACCCAATGGGCTAATGTACAAGGTTCTAATAACATTTCGATGATTTATTCGCTATTTTAATGTTTTTCGGAAAATATTCGGTTTCTAGAATAAAAACTTATGTTAAAATAAGGGTTATTTATAAAATCATCCTATATTACTCGAACAGCAAACATAAAATTTTTCTAGTTTAAATTTATTTTTGACGGGTTATGGTCAAAAGATTAATCGATTTTTACGTTTACGGTGTCTTTGTTGAAAAATTGGAGAAAATTGTTCCAGAAAAATAAAAGCATTAACGATGTGAATATCAAACTTATTAATGCGCCAAATTAAGTCTGAAAAATAGTACTTTTTTAGAAATTTAAGCCTACTTCACTACCAAAAATATCGAATTTACGGAAAACACGAGATAATATTGTTTAAGCCATTATTTTATTTGAAATTTTGGGGGTTTTTTTATTTATATTTATGTTTATTTAATTTATATATTTTTATGTTTTTTTTGCTTTTATAAATTGTAAATTGTTAATCTATTTGAAATATTTATAATAAATGAAATATATTTATTTACTTCTTATTATTTATTCTTTATATTATATATAATTTAATTTTATATTCTTTTTTTTTTTTTTTTAATATTTAAATTTTATTAGTTTGATTTTATTATTTTTATGCCAAAATAAATAAAGAAAAAAACTTTAAAAAATATATGTATATTCATTATAAGAAAGCATTAATAAATTTGTTTCAAAAATAAATAAAATTATTTTTATTTTAAATAATATAAAAAAATAAATAATTTAAAAGTAAAACAAAAAACAAAATTTTTAAAGAAAAAATATAATAAAATATATATATATATATAAAAATAAAATGGATATTATCAAAAAAGCAGCTCAAGAATTGTAATAAAAAATAAAGATAAACAATAATAATTTATTAATATTATTATTAAAATATAAAAAAACAAACTTAACTCAAAAAATTAAATAATAAAAGAAAAGAAAGGTACACAAACTAATCTTAATTAGAAAAAAATTTAAATGAGGCCACAAGTAAAGAAAACTGGACTGCTCATCCAAAAAATCTTTAATATATATCAGATGCGTCACACAACTAGTATATATTAAAATATATATCAAAAAAAAATATATATATAATTATATAAAAAAAATATATAGTGATGATTTTGGAATGATAATGAAGTTTATATTGGATAAAATAAAAAATGCTGAAAAAAATTGGAGAATAACATTTAAAGTAATTTTAAAAATATTATAAATACATAATTATATATAAACGAGTATATATGTATTTATTATAATAATTTATATCAATATATTTATATTTTTTTTTTCATTTTTTCATTTTTTTTTTTTTTTCTATTTTCTATATATTTAAGACTTTATTTTTAATTGATTTTTTAATAAAAAATGGGGCTACAAGATGTATTGGATAATTTAAAGATGAAATTAATAAATTAAAAAGGCTTTAAGATTATTAATACTTTGAAGAAGGTGAAGATAAAGGTGCTAGTGTACGTTCAAAAGCTTCACAAATTGTTGAATTATTATAGGATGAAGATAAATTAGATCATGAACGCCAATAAGCCAAAGAATTACGTGAAAAATTAGGAAATATGAACTCTTTGTCCTCAGGATCTCAATCAATGCAAAATTAAAGTTCAGTTTCTAGTAAATATTAAGGACAACCTCAGAAGAATAATAAAGATAGTAAATATGCTGGATATAGTTCTAAAGATGCCCCTGTTTTAGGCTAAAATAATAATAATAATAATAGCTCTTAAAGGGTTAATACAGATAATTATGATACTAATGAATTTAAAGGTCTTGAAAAATTCAGAAAAAAAGAAGAATAAAATGATTCTGAAAATAAAGATAATAATTCATAAAAAGTATATTCATAACCTTCTATTTCAAATTAAGATAATAAACTAAAACCAGCTTTTTAAGGAACTTTATTTGCATTACCAAAACCAGGAGAATAAATTAAAAATTAATAATAATAACCTAATTAGAATAATTAAAATTAAAAATAATAAAATTAAAATTAAGTAACTGATTTATTTGAAATTGATATGCAATAAAATAATAATAAAAAAAATTAAAGTATTAAATATAATAATATATATATATATTATTATATATTTTTATATTTATATATTTTTATTTTTAAATATTATATATATATATATATTATTTTTATTATATACAGATGATGATGAATGGGATTGGTCTAATGCTCCTACTTAAAACAATTAATAATAATAATAAATTTAATAACCCAAATAATAATTGTAATAACCTTAGTAATAGACTTAAAATAATTAATAATAATTTTAATAACCTTAATAATAATAAAAACCAACAAATGATTTTGATCTTTTTGGAGATTTTCAAGGAAATTAACAAAAAAATAAAAATAATTCTAATAATAATAATTAATAAGTAAAAAAATATATAAAAAAACTATATAAATATATAAAAAAGCAATAAAAAAATTACACAAACGATGAATTTGATTTGATAAATTTATCTGAAATCGAAAAAGATGCAAAAAATAATGCAAACTAGAAAGCCACACTCTAAAATAATTAAAATTTCGGTTTTCTAAATGAAAATAATGAAACAAATGCCGCAAATATCATCTCAAATCTGTATAAAGCCTCAAATTCAGGTTTTATTTAATAATAACCTTAACATTAAATGGCTTTCCCTTAATAAAATATTGGTTATTAATAAGCTTATCCTGGTTATTTATAATAATAATAATAAGTTCCGATGGGTATGTATGGATAGTAATAAATGGGATATGTAAATTAATAACCAATGGGATATGGAATGCCTTTGGGATAATAGATGATATATGGATAATAAATGTAATAAATGGGGTACGGATAAGAATAATAAGGATATGGATAATAAGGATATAATCCAAGTATTTTTATTTTTATAATTAAAATATATTAATTTATTTTATTTTTAGATTATAGAATGTGAGAATTATTTTTTAAACAAATTTGAAAAAAAAAAATTATATAAAGATTTATAAAATATATATATTTATATAAAATTCTTTTATTATTTATAAAATTTTAGATAAATTAAATTTTTTATTTAAATATTTTATTAAAAATAATCAATAAATATTAATGTAGAAAAATTTTTTTATAAATTATATAAATATATATATAAATAAAAATATTTATATATATATATATATATATATATTTATATATAATATTATTTATTTTTATTTTTTTATAAATATAAATAGCATTATATATTTTTTTGTTTAATATTTTAGTCATAAAATTTTATCTAAAACAATAAATATTATGTTTATTAGTATTATATGTAAAATTTTTATATCAGCAACATTTTGATTCAGCTTACTAATTAACTTTTTCATCTATTTATTAAGGTCCTACTTTAACACCATTTGACTAAATTTAGAAAAAATATAAATATATATAATAAAAATTATTTATATACTTCATTAGATGGATTAATTTCACCTTTTTCAATTTTATTTAAAACCAATTCAGTACTTTTTTTAAATACTAATTCTATATTTTCACCTTATTTTGCTGAAGTTTCAATAAACTAAATGTTAAAAGAATCAGCAAATTACTATCCTTCTTAAAATTAAACTTATCTATTATTGCCAAGATCACTTTTATTACCAATAAGTATAATAGTTATTTTCTCATTTGAATAGTTATTTATTTCATCTAACCAATTAGCAACATTTTAAAAACTTTATCTATTAGTGATATCATAAACTTATATATATATAAATTATAAATAAATATATATAAATATTTATAAATTTATATAAATATATATATTATATATACATATATTCATATATCTATATTTATTTTTATATACTTTTATATTTATTTTTAAATTATTTTTTATATATATTAAAATGTAAATAACCTAAAAACGCACATATAGAACCTCTGTAATATGAACGAGTAATTGATTTAAAGGATTCTTATCCTGCCTAATATAAAATTTATTATTTTATATATTTATTTATTTATATTTTTATTTCATATTTTCATTTTTACTGTATCCCATACTTATAGTTTTATATTTTTATTTTTTATATTAATTATTTTTGAACCAAATTCAACACCAATTGTTGTATCGTGCTCTTTTTTAAATTTATTTTCCATAAATTATAAAAGTATAGCTGATTTTCCAACACCTATTTGAATATTTTAATTTACATACTCATTTAATTATTATTTTTTTATTAATTTTACTAGAATCTCCAATTATTATGTATTTAAATAAATATAAGTAGCTCATTTTTTTTAGATTATATTATTATATTTTTTTATTCTTTTAGATTTAAATTTAATTAAATAAATATCAGTATAAAATAATAAAATAATATATATAAAAAGTATTAAATATTTTATATTTTTTTTTAAATAATAATATTATTTATTATAAATAATTTTATATTATTATCACGATTATTATTAATATTTTCTTTTATATCAATATATATTTTTTTAAATAATATATATTTTTATTAAATTCTTTGTTAAAAGTCAACTAAAAAATATATATATATATATAATTATATTTTTTTTTTGATATTAAATTTTAAATTATTTTATATATTATATTTTTTTAAATACTTTTTAAATAAATGAGTTTATTATTTAAAAAAAAATATATATATTTGTATAAATTAATTATAATTAATTTTAATATTATAATTACTATTTTTTTTATTATTATTATTATCATGATTATTATTATTATTTATTATATTATTATTATTATTATTATTACATTATTATTAATTTTATTATTATTATTTTTATTATTATTACACATAAAATTTTTTTTAAATAAATACTTTTTTAAGTTATTATTTTTTTAATTTTTTTATTTTTTAAATATTTGTTTAAATATTTTAATTTTTTTACTAAAGTTTAAATATTAAATATCACATTCATGACATTATAAAAGTTACTTAAAAATATCATAAAGCTAATAATAATATTTAAGTAAATAGATATAATTTAAAATAATTATTATAAATAAATATTTTAAAAATATATAATCTAAGTTTTATATTATTAATAATATTTTTTAAAGCTTTTTTTTATATAAATATAAACTTTTTTTAACAAAAAATCATATTTTTATTTTATATAAAATAATAATATATAAATAATCTTTTTTAAAAAATTAATAAAATAAATGTTTTATTCTTAAATATATTTTTAATTTTATATTAATTTATATATATATTTCTTCAATCTTTATATCTATTTCTATATTTTTTTCTATCTTAACTATTAGAACCTCTTTTATTTCTATATTTATTATTATGCTTATTATGCTTTTAATGATTATTTTCATTAGAATGACTTCTGCTTCTACTTTTAGAAATTCTTTTTTTCATTAATTTAGATTAATGTCTATTATCTTTATTGAAATTGTATAATCTATAAATTAAAAAAAATAAAATAATTAAAAAAAACTTTTATACATTCTTTTATTCATATTAAATCCTGTTTGTAAACCTAAAGTAATTTCTATAGGTCTTCCTTTAAAAGTATCTTTATTATGAGTTGCAGCCTTTTTTATATTAAGAAAATGAATATTTTTAATTAATTAAATACAATTGCAGCTTGTGCTATTGTTTTATATTCAATAAAAGCTTTTCCTTTATTAACTAATTATCCTTCGTTTCTTGGTACAATAAAATCCCTTAAATTTTAATATATATATATATATATATATATATATATATATATATAAATATATATAAATATATAAAAATATATAAAAATATAAATTTATAATAGTAAATATTTTTATAATAATATTTTTAATATTTAATTATTTTTATATTAATAATTAAAAAAAACGGATGATTTTATCAAAAATTAATATTTTTCACATACTCTATTTAACCAAATTATGAAAAGAATTGCTTAATTTCCTTATCTGAAAGTTCGAAATTTAAATTACTAACAAAAATAGTTCTTTTTTCTCTCTATAAATATAAATATATATATATATATATATATATTAATAAAATAAAATTAATATTTTTTGTAAATAAAAAAAAAATATATATTATTTTTTTTTTTAAAAAAAAATATAAAATAAAATATACATCTTCTATTATATTATTTAATTTTTCTTTTTCTTCATTTTTTAGATATTTTTTATCTTCATAATTTTATATGAAATTATTATTAAAAAAACATTTATTTAATTAAAAAAAAAATCTATATTAATTATAAAAAACTACTTACTTTTTTCAATCTCGTTTTCATCATCTTCACTATCCATCCAATCGTATTTTTTATTATTACCTTCTTCCTCTTCCCCTAAATATTCAGGTTCCTTATAATTATCTTCTTTTGATTAATTATCATCATCTTCTTTGTTTTAATACTAAGATTAATATTAAACTTAAATATTATTTTCATTATTTTTTGTTTATTCATATTCGTTTTCGTCTTCTTAAGGTATCTAAATTTAATTTAATATCTTTTCATCATCTATTGTATTTAAATTTGTATTATTCTATCCATCTAATTCTAATTACCATTTTTTCTTTTATTCGACTTTTTTTTGTTTTCTAAATCCGAACATTTTTTTTATTTATTTTTTTAAAAATATGATATAAGTAAATATCTATATATTTAATTTTATATTTAAAAAAAAAATTAAATTTTTCTAAAATATAAATTATTATTATTAAGTTAAATATTATTATATAAATAAAAAATATATAATAATTAATAGATAAAATAATATCAATTATTTAAAATAAATATTTATTGTATATAAAATATATTCATCTTTCATTAATTAAATATATTAAAAATTTATAATTTTATTTTTATTAAAATTAAAACAATTTTTTAAAGATTTAAAATAAAATTTTCGTATTAATTAATGAATTAATTACATAAGAAAATTAAAGATATTTAAAAAATAAATAAAATCTTAATAGAAAGTAATAAAAAAATAATTAAAATATATAAAAATATAATAATTAAATAAATAAATATATAAAATATATAAATCTATAATTATATGTATATGTTTTATTTTATATATATATTATTATATTTTTATAAAAAGAATTTTTAATTATTATATATTTATATTTCTATAATCTTTTTAATTATTTAATTTTTCTATAAATTTATAAATGTTTTAAATAATTTATATTATAATATTAATTATAATATATAAAATCAATTTTATAATTTTTATATTAAATTTCTAACATAAATATATTTTTCTTCAACAAATTTAAAAGCATTATTTTTTTATTAATTTGCTATAATGTTTTCCTAATCAGGCTTTGTTTCTTTTGACAACCATTCATTTTCTTTATATAATAATTATAATCCTTCTTTAAATTTACATTCATTCTAATTAACTAAATCATTAATATTTTAAATAAATACATTTAATTATAATTTATCGTAAAAATCTTTTTTCTCATAAATATTTTATAATGAATTCTCCAAAACTTATAAAGGAATTTTATTTTCTTAATTTTAATATTTTTTAAACATTCCATTAATTAAAATTTCAATATTTTTAAGTTAAGTAAAATTATTATATTCTTTATTAGAAATACATACATTAATACTTTTTTCCATAATATCAATTATATAAATATTATTATTCTAATTATTATTTTCTAATATAATATCTTCCAATACTTCAAATTAAGTCTATGATATATAAAAATTTAAACAAACAAAATAAACAAACAAAAATTACATTTTTATCAAAAAATTAAAGTAATATTTTTATAGAATTAATAATATTTTACTAAACCACATTATCTGTATAAGAATTTAAAATACAAAGCAAAGCTTTGCTAACAGGTACATTAAAATAATTATGATTATTTAAACTTTCCTTTTAAATTTCCAAAAGACTAACACTTTCAATAAACTAATCTACTAAACTATTCATAAAACCTGGTTTATTTTCTTTAACAAGATACTAATATAAGAACGGCAAAAGTACTCTCAATTTATAAACGGAAGAATAAAAGATCTTAAAAACCTTCTATTCAAACAACTACTTTATAAAAAATCCAATACCAATTAAATTAAAGGTTAATTAAGGATAATACTATTAAATAACTTTTGGAATTTGAGTATTCGAGAAAGTATTAAACCTTAACTAACAAAGGAAGATTTCCACAAGTTCAATCTGACCCGGTATTATTTCCAAGAAATGTTTTTATGATACATCTAAAAAATTCCTGACGTTTTTTTCGTTAAAAACACCACTTTCATCTAGGGCTTCTGTGATTCCTTACATTACATCTAAATAGAAGAAAACTACAAAGGTATTAATGAGGATTTTAGGGTCAATGTTTTTGTTTAAAATTTGTCCAGTTTCAAAATCGACTTCGATTAATTCGTTTGGACTCAAAATTTTTTTAATGTTTTTTATTTCGGGAAGGTTTTTCATAAAAGTCATGAATCTATTCAAATAATCAATAACCCAATTTTCAAAGTTTTCCTAAAATTATTTTGCGTCTGCGTTTAATTAATCACTTTTGAATTTTTCTGTATATTTCTCGAACTTTTTCATCCCGTCCATCATTGCGCGTAGAATATTTGGAAGAATTTTTGGGTAATATATTTCTTTACTTTAGATTTCGCGAGCTATAACAGCTAACATTTCTAATAAAAGAAGTTTCCTTTCTATTTATTTAGTGGTATCTAAACGACATTCAACGAAATATAGTGTCCATTACTTTATTTTATATAATTATATAAATATATATATATATTTATATTTATATTTATATTTGTATAATAGTATTATACTTTATTTTTAATTCCTAATATACGTTTACATATATATAAACATAAGTCGTTAAAATTATAAGGTTTTTCACTTATTTTACCAAAACTTGATTCATATTGTACTTTAAAAACTTAGTATATATGTTTATCTGTCATATTTAAGGCGAAATTAATAAATTGATCAGTACATTATTCGAAGTATTCTTATTATAAAGAAGGAATGAATTTTATGTATAATGATAATGATTTTTAGGCTTCTTCAAGTTTTAGATTTCTTGTCAAAAGTTTTGTTGTACTATTTTCTAGAACTTATTAAAATTCAGACATGGGCATAATTTAGTCTGGATTTTCGGACAATTTTACAAGAGTTTCTGCGAATTCCATTTTCCTTTATTTTTAATAAGATTTATAATATTTTTTTATTTATTTAAATATTAAAAATATAATATAAATTTTTTATTTGAAAAATATATATTATTATATATGTATATAAATACACACACATATATATATATATACATCTTATATTATTGTTATATAAATTTTGTATTTAAATTCAATATTTATTAATTAAATTAAGGTTATTAAAAGTTTTGTTTTGTATATTATCACAACCTTTTTTTGTCTAAATGAGTAAAGCTTTTTTCCTAAAGTTAATTTTTTTTGATGTTTCGAAAATATTCCATACATTATACGAAGTTATACGAATATTAATTAGTTTACTATTAATATCTGCATCATTTTATTCACAAACACCGTTATATGCTTCATAAAGTTTCTAATAAATTTTAATTTATTCCATCTAATCTTAATTTTTCAAACCACTTTTGAATTTCTAAGCTGCCTTTATAATAATACTTGGGAATTTGTTTATATTTAATAAATGGCCTTTTGTTTTTCTTGATTTCATTTTATTTTTCACTTTTTTCACTGAAGGGAGATTATGCGTAGACTCTTCTTATAAAATAGCCCTTGAAGGTGGGATATATTCGTCTTCGTTTTTATTTATATCAATAACTGGTTTAGGGAAAAAATTAAATAAAATAAGCTATTCTTTATTAAGGAATAATTTTTTTAATTTCTCTACTTCTTTCAGTCTATCTAAAATATTAAAAATGTCCAAATCTTTTTCTATTTAATCTTAGGCTTTTAAAATTAATTATACTTTTCTTGTTTTACAAAACTTACCGCAAGTAATTTAATTAATAAAATACGCATAACTCATTTAAATAGTCTTATCTTTTTATATTATGTACTTGAATTCTTTAGTTAAGAATTTTTTTCTTTGTATTTCTTCAATCATTATTTATTTATTCATATTATTATTCTTTACTTTTATAGCAGTCTTATTAAATTTAACGAATTTATTCTTGTTATTATCAATGATATCAGAATCTTCCTAGTGCTTTCTTTCTTATATCTGTACTCTTTTTTGATGTTAATATTCAGTATTTTTTTCACTTTCGGTATCTTTTAACTATTACTCATATTATTCGCTATATAAAGAAATTTTTTTATGAAGATTTAATCTTTTAGAATTTTAAGAACAAAATCTAAAAGAGTTTATTTTTTAAATTGAATTTGACGATAATGGTTCAATATTATCATTATTAGGAGTATCAATCATGTCTAAGTTAAAATTACTTTTTATATTAAATTCTTTTTCTTATTTAGATTACTAAGGGCTTTAAAGATCATATCTATATCTTTAAGTACTTAAACGTGGGGAATTTAAAATATCAGTAGCAATAGTTTTTTAAAAAAATTATTCTTCATATTATTATTATTATTATTATTATTATTATTATTATTATTATTATTATTATTTTTCTCTCCACTTAAAAAAATGTGGTGATATAATCGGTTTATTATGTTTATCTTCATAATTTTATATATCATCTTTTTGCTTTTGATTATTTTTAATTTAAAAAATAATATTTTTTTATTATAAAACATTATCATCTGATAAAATTAAATTTTATCTATTTAAATCCTTATATTTTTTATCTAATATATTTTTTTACTTTTTATTATAAAATGATTCATCGACATCATTATAATTAGATTAAATTTAATTATAAGATTTACTTTAAACTACATTCATTTTTTTATCTTTCTCATAATTTACTTTTTTAATTAACTTTTTTTTTTTATCTATAGGATTATCAAAATCATATAATTTATTAGCCAATTCTATCGCATAAATGTACTCATTATAATAACTTACCATAAAAGCCGAAAAAATTAAAAAAGCCTATGCAAATCCTCCCACATATGCTATAATCTCATCTATTTTTTAAAATTTTCTTTCAATTAGTTTTGTAAAATAACTTCTACTAATAAAAATTTCTATGAATTCTTCGAAATCTCCAATAAGATTTTATTCACGGAATCCATCTAAATTAAAATATGGGAATTTTTCACTTTAAATATCATTATAAGGCAATAAACTGATATCTGTATTAATATTAAATTCCGAAATAAATATATCAACTATTTTCTTCTATTTATAAGGCTAAGCATAATAATATAAATCTGCCGTATTTAAATAACTTTATATATAATCGGAAGACTTACTAGGATTAACACTATAATTGGGTATATATATTTCTAATTCCACATATTTTTCCTATAAATATTTTTCCCATTCTTTATCTGTACGGCATTTAGGTCTCCATTTTTCTGTTGAAAACTTAATAGTATCACATTTAGTTATTTTCAATATTAATTAATCATATTAACCCATTCCCCAAGCTCCTCTGACACTATATTTATCGTTTAAACTCGGACATAAGTAATTATAAAGTTATTTCTTATCGAATATTTCAGGCCAACTAATATTATAAGAAGGTAAATTAATCCAATGATTTAAAGTACAAGGTTCTAACATCATTTCATTTATTTCTGGTATTACTATTCCATTTTCATGAAATTACCTTTTTCGTTAAATAAAACTTATATTGAAATAAGGATTGTTTATAAAATTATCCTCTACTGCGCGAATGGCAAACATAAATTTAGATGAGTCAAGTTGGATTTCTTCAGGGTCGGATTTAAACTCATCTTCTATTTTTACAGTAACGGCATCTTTATTGAAAAATTAGAGAAAATTATTCCAAAAAAATACCATCATTAATGAAAGGAATAATAGACTTATACCAGCGCCAAATGTAGTTTGGAAAACACTGCTTTTTTAAAATGTTAAACCTATTTCGCTACCAAATATATCGAATTTTTTAAATATTCGAGATAGGATTGATTGAGGCATTTATTTATTTGTGTTTAGCTTTATTTATTTTTTTTTGCTTTTTTTTTTTTTATAAGAAAATATTCAAAAAAAATTAAAAAAAGTAATGTTGTTTATATTTTTATTTTTTTTATAGTTGGGTTTTATGTATTATATATAAATTCTATTAATTAAATATAATATTTTAATAAATATTATAAAGTTAAACTTTATTATAGTAAATGTTTTATATTTATAAAGAATATTATATATAATTACTTCTTTTTTTCCACCCAAACAAAATTTATTAAAATCAATATTTCAGTAAAGTAATTTATGATTAATTTAAGATTTTAGTATAAATATAATCATTAAAAATTAATTAATATTTAAATAAATTGTGAATATTTATTATACAAAAATTATATATTTATTATTTATTTGATTTTAATAAAATAAAATACTAAATTTAAAGAATCTCCATTTAATTATTCATTAATTATTTTTTTTTTAAAAAAAAAAATCAAAAATTAACATATATAATTATTATTATTTAAAAATTCTTTATATTTATTATTTATATAATGATATTTTATAAGTTTTGATAATAAATTTATGGAAAATTAAATTAATTTCAATAAAAAAATATCAAAAAACTATTTAAGTAATATGTAAATGGAAAAAGAAAAATTTCTGATTTATAAAAAAAATACACATTTTTTATTTTGATAAATTATATATATAAGTAGATTTAATATTTAATTGTAATTTATTTTAGATTTTTTCAAATTTTAATTTAAATTCCTTTTCTTTTTTATAAATAAAATTTAATAATATTAATCTTCTATTATAGGAATAATAAAATCTTTAGATAAAACTATTTTCCTATTTAAATCTCTTAAAATTTTAAAAATATTAACTTTTTATTTTATATAAAATGTGTTATTATGTATAAATTTAATAATTTAGATTTGCTAAGTTAAAAAATATTAATTAAAGCTAAAAATAGTATAGTAATAGGAAAAAAACAGAAGAATTTATGTAACTTTTATATATTATATATTTTTATCCCATTTTCATTAAAAAAAATAAATAATAAATTATATTGTGAATAAAAAAGAAAAATATAATATTTTTATTTTATAAAAATAATAATACATATATATATATATATATATATATATATATATATATATATATATATTTATATTTTTTATTATATATATTACATTTTAAATTAATTCATTTATATTATAATAGTAAAATGTTTAAAGTAATATATATAAATTTTAGATAAAAATGAAAATATTTACAATTTAAAAATAAAAATTACATAAAAAACATATATTTACAATCTTTTTTTTTTTAATAAATCAAATAAACATAAAATCATTTTATTTCTTTTAATTCTATTTGAATTTCTGATTATTTGGAATTTATTATACCACCTTTTACAATATTTTTACTTAAAATACACCTAAAAATAGAAAAGCAATCCGACGCATAAAAAATATATTAAGGTACTCCTTTATCGGTTAATAAAATACATAATTTTTAACTAAAATGATTGCAATTTTTATTAAAAATATCATAAGCGTTTCCTTTAAATTCTTAATCTAAATCAGCAACAATATCTTCGATTTCATCATTAGAATATTTGCATATTCCTATTAATATTTTACTATCGAATTCATAATTACTGAATGAATCTTCTTATATATTTATAGCACATATGCCAGAAAAATTACCACTATGGGCACCGAAATTATATTCTATATTATTTATTTGGACAGCAGTATGATATATACCCAATCCTATGTATTTTAGGATTTTATTAAATTTCGTAATATTGTATATACATAAATAAACTTCTTAATTTTTTTCATCCATTTTTTATTTTATTAAATAAAAAAAATATATATTAATATTATTATGAAAAATAAATAAAAAAAACTAATTAAAAAATTATTTAAAAACACAAATATATTATTAAAAAAAAAAATTAAAAAAAACTAATATATATAATAAATATAAATAAAAAATTTGAATTTATTAAATTAAATTATATATAAGAAAAGAATAATTGTTTAACATGTGTGTATATAATATTAAAATAAACAAAATATTTAAATTTATATAGTTATTAAATATATAATAAATTTAAAATAAATTAATAATTTAAAAAGTTTAAATAAATAAAAAATTAAATATAAAAATTAAAAATAAAATATTGAAAAAAAAACTAAATATATAATAATATGAAAATTTAACTAAAAATAATTATATATTTAAAAATATATATATATATATATAATTTTTATATATATATATTCTAATATAAATTTAAATATGTTATAATATTTTATCATTTATTTCAATATTATTAAATATAATCATCTATATCTTAATGTTTCTTAATTTTTCTAAAAATAAACATATACCATTTTGAATACTTTCGACTAAATCTAACTAAAAATGGTAAAACTTTTCTTTCATAAAAAAGCGTTACTATTCCATTTAAAACTGTTAAAAATCCCACAAAATTTCTCCAATCATCTGGCATTTCTGAAATAACATTTCCTAACTCATCTTCTACTTAATATTTAAGTTTAAAGAAATCTCTAATAATTTCGATTTTACTAAATATTAAAATAAAAGATACCAAACTTAAAAAAGCAACCGTAAGACAATAATAAATATTCGAATAAAACGGTTTTTTATGCACTGACCCAATTGAAAAAGACACTACAACAAAAATATATTAAAGATTTGAAATCCAAAACAAGGAAGTAGCCTCATAACAACTACTAACATCATATAGTTCCTAAATTCCCTATTTTTCATATATGTTTACTCCTGAAATATACCAATTTTCCCTTTCCAATTGAAATAAAACCCATAATTAAAAACTAAGCTAAATAATACCTTATCCAATTACTGAAATTATAATTTCATGAGAAATCAAATTCCCTGTTGGTACATTTTTAGTTAATTTAGGGGCCCCTTCAGTTAATCCTAATATGAAAGTCAAAGGAAAAATAATAAATAAATCCCAAAAAAGAAACTAATTGTCCGTAGGCATTGATGTATTAAAATATAATAAAATCAAACTATAAGATTCGATCATAGAATACAAGGCCATATACTTAAAACATTCAAATGACGTTACTAAACATGCTCTTCCTTCCTTTAATATCTAATATAAACATTATATATCTTATTAAGAACTAGTAAAGGTTGCTTAAGGGCATAAAGAGCCACTTTCATCAACTTTATTTATTAAAGATACACCCATATCAGCCTCTTTTAAGGCTCCAGAGTTTGTAGAAGGATCGCCAATCATTCCTATGAATGTATAATTGGCTTAATCTTAGTTTTATAGGAGGGAGATTAGATATTATTTTTAATCAGGGGTGAATCGAGCGTATATAATAGCATTTTTAAGGATTGTTTGTACGAGATATTGGTTATTTCGGGTCTATATATCCCTTTTAGAGGACATATACTCATAAAAAAAGGAGCCTGTAATTACTAAAGGTTTTTATTCGAAAGTTTTTATCAATTCCTAATCTTAAATATTAACTTATTAGCCATTTAAAAGCGTTTATTAATTTTTTATTTAAAAATCAAGAATAAAAGCCTAATCAGTATTCAAAATTTAAGTCTAAAAAGCCAATTTTAAACTAGATAATGGATTATCACCAGTTAACATTAATAATTTTATATTACTTTAATTTAATTCTTATATATTTTTTAAAGTATTTTTTTTCAAAGAATTCTCAAAAATTAAAAAACCGCCAAAAATATAAGAATTATTAATATTGTTATTTTCATATACATAATTATTATTATTTTCTTATATTTTATTAATAATTTTATATGAAAATGATAGTACACGATGTCCTTATTTGACTAATTCTTAAAATTTTTCATTAAAAATTTAAATAAAAGGCGATTTTTGATAACTTTCTAGTATTTTTTCAGGCGATCCTTTCTAAAAAATATACTAATTTTCATTAATTTACACTTTTGCGTACATTTTTTATTTCTGAGATAAAAAAGGGGTTCTTTCAAGTATTTAAATTTGAGTTTTTTCATTATTATTAAGTTTTATCAACCCTTCATTTATCATTTAAGCCCCGGAAAACCTAAACATTTCCAAATCTAAATTATCTCCTATCAACCGGTTATTTTCTACTTTCAAAATATTATGACAAGATGCAATTAAAGCCTAGAAAATAACAGGAACCTTATTAAAATCATCTTAAACTTGGAATTTCTAATCTTAGAAAAGAACCAAATTCCTCAAACGAAGCTTATTTTATGTCAAACCTGTTTTATCAAGACAAAGAGTCTTTATTTTCCCACAAACACTAATTTTATGAATATTAGAGCAAAAAATCTTTTTTTCATTCAATCTTTTTAACGAAAAAGAAATTCCAAAAGATAAACAAGTTGGTAAAGCCGGTGGTATACAAATAGCAATAATATCTAAACTTCTTATAATAATTTCAGTTAAATTTATATAATTTTTCCTATAGTTATCCATAAAAGTTGGTAGTGTTAAAAAAAGCATAAAAAAAGCCAAAAAAGTTAAAGTAAAGACGAAAATAGTTGAGTCTTTTTAAAATGAAAATTCCTTATGTTTACAAGGAAAAAGCATACTTCGTATTAAATTTCCTTTCAAAGTTTCAAATTATACTCGGATAACTTTTCCTTTTACTTCCTTTTATGTTCTTAATATCTTACTACCGCAAAAAATTATATGTTAGTGTTAGTTTTCGCTAAATTATTATTAAATAGGTTCAATTTCAGCCTTTAAAACAGGAGAATCTTATCCACGTAAAGATTATTCGTCGACTATACAACTTCCTTTTATTAATATAAGGTCACATGGAGCTACTGTGTTTTATTATAGTTCAATAATATCACCAAAAACGAGCTTTTCAGGACTTATATATTCATATTTATTTTAAATATCGGGTCTTAAGACTTTATAAGTTTACTGAAAACTAGAGGAATCTTTTAGTTTTTTTAATTTTTAGTAGTCTAAATTCTACTCGTGTAATTCAATAGTAATTGAAAAAATACTTGCGAAAAGAATAATGACAGCATAAATATTATATTCTTCATAAAACCACAAAATAATACAAAAAATCTAAAAAACATAAAAAGGAGTCAATATTTCTCCTAAAATAATACCAATTTTGGATAAAGGAGGAGTCCAAGTTGAATTTTCTCCTTCTTTTTTTAATGTTTTTAATTATTATTATGTAGATAATCCATATTGATGATATTATAAAAGCTCTTTATAGGTAAATGAGGATACTTATTGACAAATAGGAATAAATTTTTATATATTTGCATCAAAAAAATATCTATAATATCGATAGTTTAAAACCTAATAATATATATATAAATATTAATTCTATATAAATTTAAATTATAAATATATAATTTATATTATTGTCTAACTTATATATATATATATAAATATATAAAATAAATATATATATATATATATATATATATTAATTTTTTTTTTTATTTTCTTTATTTTTACTTTATGTTTTTGGTTATCTATTAATTCTTCATTTAATTTTACTAATTCTGTATGTTCACCTATTTTTATTTTTTATTTTTATTAAAAAATATTAAAATATAATATTTATTTACCAGATCCTTTAATATATAACCACTCTGCTTATTCTATAGAAACTTTTTTGTATAAGATTTTTATTTTCCATTATATATTCCATTTAAAAATTAAATAGGCAAATCCTAAAGTTATTATATATAAAAAGTAGCATAGATTTTATTAATTTTTTGATTAATAAAAAGGTTAAATAGATTAAATATGTCCTTCAATTTACGTTTTTTCATATAAAATTATATCTTCGTTATTAATTTTATTTAATCTATATGACTTATGTGAATTTATTTAAAATCTGTTTTTGTTTGTTTGTGTTTGTTTATTATTTTTTTTAAAATTTTTACTCAGATTTGTTTTCGGATAAATTTAAAGTATTAATTTATATTTCGTTTTACATTTTATTTTTTTATTTTTTTCAAAAAAAAAAAAAAAAAAAAATTTAAGTTTTAACTTCTTTTTTTATATTATAAATATTTTAAATTTAATTTAATATATCTTTATATTATTTTAATTTATTAAAAATATGATAATTTATTTACTTTAAATTTTGTTTAATTTAATAAATAAAAAAAAAACAAATTAAATTATAAATATTTTATATTATTTTATTTTTATATATGTAAATATAATTTAATTTTTTATTCTTTTTTTTTTTTTCTTTTATCAATAATTACTAGCTTTTAATGATTAAGCTAATTTTTCACAAATTTCATTAACCTTTCCGGGAACTTAACCTAATTCTAAGGAAAAAGTACCAATAACTAAAGCTAAATTAGTAATAGCAATAGAAGCACCTCCTTTGTCCTATAATAAAATTAAATATTAGTTATATATATATATATATATAAGTAAAATAAATACCTTTTTGAGATACCAAGTACCAGCATCTTAATCAAAATGAACAGTATAATATTTTTCGTTATTTATTCTAATACCAATATTAGGATCAGTAGGAACTCCTTTGTTTTAGCAAGCTATAATTTTAATAAAAAATAAACAAAAATTAATTATAAAAGAAAAAAAAAAAAAACCTGCAACTAAAAGTTTAGCTTCATTACAAGAATAGCTTTTATCTTCAACAGTAACATCATAAGTATTAAACTATTATAAAATATATATAATATAAATATTAATTTTAATATTTATTTAAAAAAGTTTGTTTACAGTTTTAAGTCCTGAATTAGTAGCCCATATTAAACCGTCTTGTTTTCCGACTATATATCCATGTTAACAAATCTTGTCTTTTACAAGATAATCAACGTATTAATCCCAGCCTGACATATTTCTTATATATATTTAATTTTTTTAGTTTTTTTTGTTTTTTTTATTTTTATTATATTTTATTTTATATATCTATTTTCTTATATATATAATTATATTATTTTTTATTTAATATTAAATAAAACTTTTTTGCTTTTTAGATATTTTTTATTCTTTTATTATTTTACAATAATTTTTATCCCAAAAATTATTTAAATTCTAAAAATAGATATATATTTTTAAATTATCTTATTATAAATATATGATTGCAATTGTTTCGTTTAATTTATAAATATTATCATCAAATTATAAAAGAAAATAACGATTTAATTTTTTCTAATATAAAATATAATATTATTAAATTATACAACATTAGTTATGCAAAATATATATAATTAACAATGTTAATATTTTTCATCTTAAATAATATTTTTTTTTTTTTTTTTAATTAAAAAACTTGATTTTGAAAATTATAAAATATAGACTTTAATTTATTGTGGATAAAATATATTTAAAATTATTAAGAATTTATTTAAATAAATATAAAATATTAATACGTATTTATCTTTTATATATTAATTATAATCAGTTAATTTAATAATTTAATTAATTATAAATATCATATACTAAAATATTTAATTAATAATAAATTAATTAACTATTTTTAAGAATAAAATTTTAATATATAATTTATCAATAATTTATTAGATTTATATTTGTTATTTTAATTTCTAAATTTTGATATTTAAGCTAAAATATATCCTATTTTTCTTTTTTAGTATTTTTTGTTCTAAGTATTTTTTTTTAATATTATTTGTTATATATAAAATATTTTTATAAAAAAAATATTTTATTTAATATAAATATAAAACTTATTAAAAATTTATATATACAAAACAACTGAAATTAAATATTTATAAATTTTTAAATTTCATATTTAGCATGATTCGTTTTATTTGTTAATAATAAAAATTAAAAACTTAAAAAGTAAAAATGATATTAGATTTATAATTAAAATTTTTTTAAAAAAATTATAAAAAAAAATATAAATATAAAGATGTAATTTTTAAAATAGCTTAAAAATAATTAATCCGTTTTTATAACAAAAAATGTTATACAAAATAAAACTAATATCAAAAATTACTTAATAATGATGTATTATTTTATATAAAAAAAAATGTATATCATATTAAATTAAAAAATGATTAAATTTTTGAAGTAAAATAAAAAAAATAAATAAATATCTAATAAGAAAATATTATTAATATTATATATAAAAGTAAAAGAAAATATAAAATAAATTTATATAAAAATATTTTAAATAAAAAACAGAGAAAATATATAATTAATAATATGTAAATATTTTATTTTTTATATAGAAAAAAGAAGAAAATCTAATTATACATATAAAAAAATATAAATATTAAATAGATTTTATAAAAGATACAATATTTATCATTTGATAATATTATTTTAAATAAAATAAAATAATATTAAAAAATTATATATATGTATATATATATATTTTTATATTTTAAAATATATATATTTAGGTATATAAATATTAACCTAACTTCATGCATAATGAAATTTATCAATATAATTTTAATAGTATTTTGAAGTTATATAAGCCGGTCCAAAACTATCTTCATCATACCTGTACCATTTAACAATTTTATTATTTTCTTCGTTTTAATTATTACATAATTAATACATATCTCCTACGCTATTTATTACTTAATATGTTTAATATTTTCCTCCAGATCTTTTATATTTAAATATATAAATATATTAAAAAGTATATTTAAAATTTTTTATTTAAAATATATTTAATATTATAAAATATATATATTATTATATATTTATATCTAAATATTAATATTTTCATTTATATATTTATTAATATATATAATTATTACAAAAAATCAATAAAATCATTTTATTTAATATTCATATTATCATAATAATCTTCATCTGAATCATATTCATAAGTTTAAATAGTTTCATTTTTTTTAATTAATTTAAATAAATTGTATCTATCTTCTGCTTTACCTTTAATTGCTATATTTTATTTATTTAAATAGCCAAAATCGATTTAAAACTACCTATTTTCATCTCTAAAAAGTAATAAACTATTATTTAAATTCTAAACTAAATTAGATGTATTTTATATCCAATTATCAATCAATTTAACAATATCTTTATTATTATTTAGTAAAGAATTTAAACATTTCTAAAAATTCTTACTTAAACTATAAATCTATTATAAATAAATATAAAAAAATATAAATATATTAATATATATATAATATATATATATATATATATATATATATTTACTTTTATTATACCATCAAACACTATAGATGAACATATATAATATTTAAGATTATTACTGAAGAATTACATTATTTAAAAAACAATTTTTTAAATTTAAATATTATTATTTTCACAAACCTAAACTAAATATCTTAATAAAACCATTAAAAATTTTACATCTTTATCATCAAATTTTCTTTCTTTATAAATTTCCTTTAAACAATCTAACATTCCTTCCTAAAATTTAACATTTAAAAAGCTTATATGACCTATTCCTAATGCAAAATACTTTCTACTCTACTTATTATTACATAAACTGATTATTTTTTTCAAAAAATTTGACTATTTATACAATTCAATATCTACATTTTGATTATTTTCTAATAAAAAGGCAGCTTAATACGGGCTTTATTTTCCTATAGATGGATTAAAATTATTCATTCTAATAATATTAGACCATAATTTTATTAACGAAGCGTAATTTTTCTACATATTTTGTAATTTATTTTAATAATCTCTTTATTCTATTAATTCTTCTATCGATTTTATATTATTTAAATTATTAACAATTTAATAATTTCCTTTCTATAATTCGAATTCTGTAAACTTTCCCAAAAACTCATTATTATTATCAAAAATCTGATCTTAAAAAAACGCATTTAGTCTATTAATAATTTTATTCTAAAACATATAAATTCCTACATTATTCGACATTTCTTAAACCTTGCAAATTAAACGGAAAAACTAATCAAGTAATTTAGACTCATTTACATGTAAATTTAACACTGAAAAGCCTAAATTTACAAATTAAACTAAACAACTTTTCTAAACGAACTCTTCAAACTGTAGAACATCGTCTTTTTCACAAACAGTCTTTAAGCCTTACAAAATAAGCCCACTAGTGATGCACTTCATATCATCAACAGGGTTTTAGACATAAATTTCTTTAATAAAATTGATGTTATTGACATTTTAAATTAGCCAAGTGGATAAACTATAACTATTTTATAATAAAAGAGCCAATTATTGTCTAAAGAAAGTAATTTAAGACTTATCATATGACCTAATGAGCACAAAGAAGTAATAAAAGAATCCAAATTTACTTATTTACAAGGTTTATAGGCTTTCTTAATTTTGATTTATGACAATTTTAATTAACTAGACTACATATTCTTACAAATCTTTTGAAAAGAAGTATTTATTTAAATGCAGTTTATAATTTTCTGAATACTAAAGCCCATTTAAATCTAAATGATTATTTTTGGTTGTCATTTATAAATTTGAAACATTCTAAAAATTAAAGAACTTAACTCTTTCATAAAAAAGCATATAAGCGTTTTTATTTTTATGAATTTAATTATTTCCCTATTACTAAGATTATTACAATTTATTAATTTACTAGGAATTTTGAAATTTCCCATCTATTTTTTCCTCAAAACCTCCAAAACCTTCCTATTGGATTTCCTAAATATCAAAAGGCTAAATTTACATATCATTGAATTCCATCCAATTCCCTTCTTTTTCTTAAATAATGCTATAATAATGTCCAGAATCTGATGTTCCTTGATGTATAATAATTCCCCTTAATTTATACTAAAAATATTCATTTCCATATTATTCATTCTCCTCATTCAATTTTGTATATTATTTCATGTCTAAATCAAACGGAAACTCACAATATGCATTTATTTTAGTCTTCTACATACTCTCGATATCAAAATGGAACCTTTTCAATACTATAATAAGCAGATTAGGTAATTTTTTAATACTTTACTGCTTTAAAGTTGGCACTTTAGCGTTACATTTCTCACAAAAATACGAATTATCTCCATCTAGCATTTCTCCTTATACAAAGGAATCCAAGCATTCCCCTAGAGTGCTTTTTTTATTCTTTATGGGTAAAGAAATAGCCATGAAAGATTCATTTCTTTCCGAACAATGCTCACAACCTGAGCCTTTTCCAATTAATTCATTGGCTAATTATCCTTCGAAGATATCTTTTATAATAAACTCTTAGCCAAGGGGTTTTAGATCTGTTTCTAATCTATCCATTAGTGTATTAAAAAACTCATCGACGTCCATTTATTACATTACATTAGTCGGTTATCCGTCAAAATCTTTGAATTAAAAACAAAATTCTCTACAGTCATAAAATTGCCTTTATGAAAAACTCAAAGCCTGCATTATTTAGTTAAAAAAAAATAAAGTATTATTATTGTCATTATTTTCCTCTTTTCTTATTTTTAATAAATTCTGAGAAAACTCTTTTATCATGAAAAGTTGCTAGAATAAAGAGTTCATATAACATGTAGAACCTAAATTTTTCAAACCGACATATTCTTTTGTGTTTTTTTCAATTTCTTGCCTTTTATTCCATTCTTATCGACTTTTTTATCGCCAAAAACCACTTTTTAAGAACTATTCAATATACTAATTAGGGTCCGAAATAGGATTTTTTTACATATTTTTGCTTTAGATCTTCACTAAAACCTTAAATGCTGCATTTCTGGTTTTCAGAGACTTACATTTAGGAGGAATATTAAATAAACAGTCTTAAATAATACTTTTACATACATCATTTTCTATATATTGGAATAAGTTTTCCTATATATTTAATAATTTCAAGGCTATTTAAAACGCTCCTCTTAAAAGTTAATTTTCTTGAAAAAAATAAATAAAATATATATATATATATATATATATATATATATATATATATATATATATTTACTTTCATTATTGTTTTCTTCTAAAACATTTTTACTTTTAATAATTTCTATGATTTTCAAAGAAATTTAAACCAAATTATTTTATTTTAAATCTCCTAATTTTTCATACTATGAAATCTTATCTAATAAAAATTCATAAAAATCAAAAAACTAAATACATTTTTCCTTATAAATACCTAAAAAATCTCCAAAACTTTCTTTTAGAATTAATTAATTTAATAAATTTTCGAATAAAATTAATCCTTCTTTACTTTCTTCTAATACTACTATTTATTGAAGTCCTTTTTTAATCTCTTTTCTTGAACCTTTATCATCAACATTTAATAATCCCTATATCACTATAAACTCCAATATTTTTTTACATTCGCTTAAATATTCTATCACAACTTCCTCTTTTTCTTCGAAAATTCTTATAATAAGTTACATTGTACTCTTTAAAAATTACTATAAATACCCTTTATTTTAACCTTTAGTATTACTTTCTTATAAAAGTACTTATTCAATGAAAAAAAAGGCATTCTAAGCCAATCTTTATAAAAAGTTCTCATTATTTTCCACAAAAAAACCTGATTAATTCGCATAATTTTGCATTATGAAATGGTTAATGATCTCAGCAAGGGTCTATAAGCAATATAAATTAAAGGGCTAACTAAAGAAATGTTAAGAGTTGATGTTTTGTATACTTTAATAAATATTAATGAGATGCTTTATTCCGTTTTTGCTCAAAAAAAGCTTACACCATTTTTCTTATTCTAAAAAATACTATTAAATAATTAAAAGACAATACTATAATTTTAAATAGCAATTTTATGAAAAAAGCTCATTAACTTAGTTTAAATTTTCTATCTTTTTAACTATGTTTTAAATTTTAGGTAAATTATTTAATGTTTCCAATATATTTTAAATCAACTCAACTTAATTGTTCTATGATAACATTTCAAATAATAATTCTCCAAAAGAATCATTTACTAATTCTTATTTGAATTAAATTAAATCTACTAAGTCTTGATTCTATATAATTCAAAAATATAAATAATAATATGTATATATATATATATATATATATATATATATATATATATATATATATATATATATATATATATATATATATATATATATATATATATTTAATACATTATCTTTTATATTAATAGCTGATATAATAGTTTATTTTAAATCATTAAAAACCAAAGCTTATATATTATATTCTTCTTCTTAATATCTACATATAATATAATTTTTACCTTCTATAAATAAATCAAAATCTTTATTCTAAATAATAAACTATTCGCCTATAATTTTTCTTAAATGCAATATACTTATATTATTATCTAAATTAAGCATGATTCTAGTTTTAGTTTCTAAAAAATAAAAAAACATATATATATATATATATAAATATATATATATATATTTATATATATATTATTATATATATATTTTAATATATATATTTTTTTAATTATTAATTTATTTAAATATATATTACATTTTTCTAATTAAATGTATATTTATAAGCTCTAACTCTTTATATCAAAGTACATCTTCCCTTCTAATTCTTACAAAAAGAATTTAACCATTTTAACAATATTAAACTATACTCTAAACTAAACGTTTTACATTTAAAGAATATCTTTACATTTATTTATAAAAAGTTTCCATAGTTTTATTTTTTACTCAGAGCTTTTCTAGGCTTTTCTGACATAAAAATTTGGAATAAACTAGTTATTAAAATTTAACACTTCTTGATTTTCACAAAATAGTAAAACATTCCAAAAAAACTCTTTTCCAATAATATTCTCATGTTTAATTACAAAAATCACATTTTTTTAATTAATTTCTATACTTTTCCCATTCCTAATATTACATTCTATCAAAAACTGCCTCACAAACTCATAACTTTCCTTATCAATATTATAATCTTTCATCAACTCCTTTTCTAATAATATTTTTTCAACAAACTATACATATAAATGTTCATTAATTACATTTTTCTATCCATTTTTTACCAAAATCCACTTCAAAAGCTTCTTTTTTTCGACCACTACCCATAATTTTTTTACCTATTCAATATTCATTTCCCATTTTTTCCCTTAAAGTGCATTACTTACTATCTAAATAAGTTCTAATCGAATATCCACATTCTATTCATGTGTATATTTTCCCTAAATTCCTCCCCCCATCTATTCTTACCCACTTTAATAATAGCATTCGAACTCCTTCACTAATAAATCCAAAATATAGAATTCTTTATTAAATTTAACCACAATATTCTATTAAGTATCCTCCAAAAAGTTATTAAAAACGGACGAATTTTTATAGCTTTTGAGTAATTAAATAATAACCTAAATACTCTAGCAAACACTTTTCCCATCTCTAACATTTTCAAAGCTCATTTAAATATATTATTCTTTCAAGTTACTATTTTTCAATAAAAAGCATAAACAATCTACTATATTATGAATTAATTTCGGATTTACCTTATTTTAGTCTTAAAGTGCTTCCCATAGAAATTCGAGTCCGAAATTCGGGAATTCCGACTAAATTTTTTATTTTTTATTCTAATACTGCATATTTAACCCGGCATTCTAACTAAAATCCTTCAATAAATTAATTGTTAAATCCGTATATTTTTCGAATTTAATTAAACTCATTTATTTAAACAAATACTCCAAACTTTCCACATTTAACACCTTACTAAGGCTTATAATAACCTCATAAATGGCCATTAGATCTGCCTCGTGTTTATTTTCAGTGATTTTCCATAAATTTTCGATATGTTTTTTCTAAAGACCTCCTATTTCAGCCATAAAAACAAAAATATGTAAAGACTTCTTAAATATTTCTGGATGGAAATAATTTTCTCCCAATAAAAAATCTAAAAGCCCTTCCTATTCTAAAATCATCTTTAGACTTTCTTTATTCATATATTTAAAAGACTGAATATTTTCTTATATTTACTACTACTATTATAGAATTTTTCCACCATATTACTAACAAACATGCTCTATAATCTCCTTAATTTAGACTATTCCTGCGAATTTCTTCTCTAAATACTAACACTTCAACAATTTTAAAGCAAACTAAATCTCGGCTTTATCCACAGCCTCGAAAATCTCCCTTTCATTAGGAATATAGGTACTTCTGGGTAATAGATTCCTTAAAACATTCCTTACTTTTGGAATATCTATATCTTTCATTTCCTTATCTTAAATTTTGCTGATTCTTTGAAAAATACTCTAATATTTTTAATATACTTATTATTTTTTTCGAAAATAGAATTTTTTTTTTTATTATTTTTTATTACTTTCTCATATAAATCTAAATACATTCTCTAAATTCTTGAAGGCATTAGCTAAATACATTTATTCATCACCTCCTATATATAAACAATGATATTTAAAGGCGTCTTATATATATTTTCTTGCCAATTTATTAAATTAATTAAATGATCGAACCCATTATTTGATCCAAAACAATTAATAAAATTAATTATTTAATCCATTTAATTATTATATGATTCTTTACTTCTAATTGCAAATGGTTCCTATACTTAAATCAAACAAAATTAATTCTAACTATAATATCTTCTTCCTCTGATTCTTTCGCCAAGTATATTTAATAACAATTCAAATAATTCACTATAAGCACTAACCAAACATACTTAAGGGGCTATTAAATATAAATTTGTATTCAAATTATTCGCTTCAATATACTATTAAAATATATATATATATATATATATATATATATATATTTATATATATATATATTTATATATATATTTATATATAATGATTTATTAATATACAAAATTGAGCGAAAATAATTTTTTATTAAATTTTATAAAAATATAAATAAAAAATTATGAATAAGTAATATATTAAAATATTTATAGTTGATTTTTTACTTAATGTAGATATTAGGGAATAGTTTAAAGATATTTACAGAAAAAAGAAATATAAACTTAAAAAAATTCAACAGAAAGTTTCATGTCTTCTTTATTTAAAGCTTTTTAATAAGTCAATATTGAATCTCCTAAAATAAATAAACTTCCACGAACATATTAAATAAACTGATAAGTGTCTTCTATTTAGAAATTATTTTATTAAAGATTCATCATTTTTTCTAATTCCTTTTTAAATATAAATATATATATAAATACATATATTTATTGCTAACTTAATTTATATTATTTCTTTAATTCTCAAATATAAAATTATCTCTTTAAGATTACTTTTTTGCCCCTGTATAAGGTTATGTTTTTGATCTAAAAGGCAATATTTTTTTAGAATTTACAAAATGTTTCTTTTTTTTGATTTCCAAAACAAATATAAATATTATTTTTTTTTGAAAAAATAAATAAATAAAAAGTTTTACTTCATTAAATGATTCTTTCCATCCATCAAAATTAATATATAATTAATTTTATTCAATTGAAATTATTTTTCCTACACACCAATTATTAGAATTATCCATAACATCTAAATATTAGTTTAGCTTTATGTAATTTTACATATTAAAATTAGTTTTTAATTCCTAATTATATTTTTGTAAATCTTCAATAATCTTATTATTATTTATTTATGCCATTTATTTGTTTTTTTTTTTTTTTTATTTATTTTAAAATAATTAATTATTTTTATTTATTTTTTTTCTTATTATCACTATTTCTCTTGTATAAAGATTTTCTTTGTTTTTTTGTTTTTTATTGTTTTTTTTTTTTTAAATAGAAATAATATATTTAATGAATATAAATTTATTAACAAATTAAAATATATTAAAATATATATATATATATATATATATATCAAAAATTTATATATATAAACATCTTTTTTTATAAAAATGAAATTTTAGAGTTTAATAAAAATTAAAATTTTAATAAATTAAAATTATAAAAATTCAAAATCAATTTTGTTTTAATCTTTATATTATTAATTTGTTTAATTTAAAATAAAAATTCTTTTATTATTTATAAAAATTTAAATATATTATTAAAAAATTTTTTATATATAATTTCTTTTAGTATTTTATTTTTTATTAAATTTTATAAAATGCTTTTTTATTCAAAAACAAATTGCTTAATATTATCAATTAAATATTAAGAAAATTTTAATTTATTAATTTAAAAAACAAACAAAAATTAAATTATATAAAAATAAATAAATAATTATATCTAAATAAAAATATATAATAATTTAAAAATTAAAATGAGATATTTGATTTCATTAACTTATAAAAAAAAAATATTCCATTAAAAAAAATTTAATATACTTTTGAAAAAAATTTATATTAATTAAATAATTAAGATAATATAAAATATTAATAATAAACATTAAAATATGAAATAAATAAAAAATATATAAATGTAATTTATATATGTATATTGTAAACACAATTATTTAAATAAGAAAACTATTAAATATTGTAAATTTAAAAACTAATAATAACTTATAATATAAATATGTTATTCCGATTATGATATATATTAATATAAAATAAGATAAAAAAGGGATTTAAAAATTGTATTATTTAAAAAAAAAATATTATAGATAATAAATAAAAAAGAATATAAAAACATTATAAAATAAATAGTATATAAAATATATATATATATATTTTATATATTTTTATATATATATATATATATAAAATATCTAAAATTAAATATATCGTATATTGAAAATTTACTTAAACATATAATTTTTTTTAAATGAGTGTATGTACGTACATTCATTTATATTTTTATATCATAAAATAAATATTTGTTTCTTAAAATTAATTATATTTATATTTTTATTTTCTTAATATTAAATAAATGAAAAATAATAACTTTAAAAATATATATATTTTTATATAATAGAAATAAACTAAAAAAAAATAATTAATATTATTTTTGTTTTTTATTTTTTTTTAAAAAAAACGAAATTTAAAATAATATTTTTACTATTTAAAAAAAAAAAATATGTAATAATATAATTCTTAAACATTGCGTTCATCCGGCTATCACACACAATCTGGACTTACTGATTTAGAAGTAAATATATATATAGAATGAATTAAATTAAATAAAAAAGGGTGCAAAAGCAGTAGCCAGAAGATTATTTGATAATTATGACAAAGGAAGAAAAGGAAAACTTGACAATGTAGACTGTGTTCCCATGATAGTGGAATCATACAAATCATTTAACTAATTTTTTTCACCTTCTGGTGAAGATATAAAATCTTACCATCGTATTTTAGACAGAAACGGTGACGGAGTAGTCAACTATTAAGACATAGAAGATTTATGTGTTCGTTATTTATGTGGAGGAGTAGGCTAAACAACAACCTAAAGATAAACCGGTCAAGATGAAAGAATTAAAAGAGCCGCTAAGCCACAATATGCTCCCGAAGTTGAAAGAAAACTTGACGTAGCCAGAAGACTTTTTAAAAGATTCGACAGAGACGGAAGTGGACATCTCCAAGAAGATGAAATTGCGGGACTTTTAAAAGCTACATATGAAGAAATGGGGATGTAAAATTTCACACCTAGTTAAGAAGACGTCAGAATGTGGCTATAAATGGCAGATACAAATTCAGATGGAAGTGTTTGTATAGAAGAATATGAAGAATTAATTATTAGATCTTTAAGAAATGCTGGAATTAAAATTGAAAAATAATCAATTGTATTTTGATATGTTTTTATTTTATATTTTAATATAAATGGTTATTTTTTTTATTTAATTTTTTTCCCTTTTTTATATTTAAAATTCAAATTTATTTACTATATAAGAAAATATTTAATAAATTTAGTTTTTATATAGTCAAAGTTATTTTTTTAATATATTTATAAATATAATTAACAAATCTAAAAAATTATATTTATATAAAAAAATTAAAACTATTTTATATAAATAAATTAAGATATATATAATTAATCTGAAAAAATAAATATTAAAATTTATAATAATATATAAATAAATTAAAAAAAAAATTATAATAAAAAATAATATATATATGTATATATATATATAAATATATAGATTTATATATATTTATTTATATATATATAATATTATTTTTTAAATATAATTATATTTTATATATTATTATTATTTATTAATTAATTTAATATTTATTTATTATTAATAATTTTTTTTTATAATATCTAATTATTTAAATAAAAAAAAATATATATAAATAAATATTTTTATTTTACTAAAATTTCACACTAAGTTATCTATATTTTTTAATCTTTCATTAATATATAATTAACCTAATCTATATTATTTATTAATATCTAGTTTTTAACTATCCTAATTATTTCTATTAATAGAAACATTATTATATTAATCGATTTCATGAAACCTTAAAATATTCTAAGAAACCTTAACTTCTATAATAATTTCTTAATTATTTTTATTAAGACTATTAATATTAACACCTTATTCTATTACATTACAACTTCCTAAATTTAAAGCTTAATTTTAACTAAACAATATTATATAACTTAAAGACTTTTTAATATGACATAAAATATTATTTTCGCAATTTTATTAAATAAGGCCTATAGTTATCAAATCTAAATCAACATGATCTTCTTGAGATTTAGCTCTTCCAATATTAAAAGTAAATTTATATTTTAAGTTATTATTAAGAATAAATTTAGAGTATGCTTGACTTCCTTTATCTCTATCTTCCCTTATTAATTTTGTAAATGAATTAGTTAACTTATCATATTCTATATTTGGGAATTTTTATGAACATTCAAATCCTAATGATTTAATTTAAAATATAGAATCAATATGTAAATATTTAGTATTAATATTATTATATAAATCATATAACTTTTCAATAATTATATTATTTTATTGTTCTTATTAGTCTAAAATATTTTAAGCCTTAAATTAAAAACTAATTTTATTATTTAAGATTTTATCTAAAATTTAATTTTATTATTATAATTATTAAACTTACTATATATATTATTAAGTTTCTATAAATTAATAATCATATTATTATTACATTTTTAACATTTTTATTATAATTAAGTAATTTATAATTAGTATTATTATTATTTCTATTTATTTTCATTATCTTATTATTGATATTCCATACATTATTTTTATAATAAACTTAATTATTATTAAAGTTCTTATTGTAATTATTATTTTTAAATATTTTAAATATAGGCTGGTATTTATGTCTAATTATGTGTAATTTATTTCATTAAATTTTATATATTATTATCAATTTAATCAAAATAAACTTAAGTAAAAGTATTTAAACCATTTTACAATTAATTAATAATCTATTATAATGTTTCTTCATCTTTTTATTGATTTTAGTATTTAAATGTAATATATTTATTTAATTCTTTATTCATATTATCTAAATCATTAGAGTTTTTTTCCAAAATTTAAGCGAATTCCTCATAATAGGTTATTTTTAAGAAATAGCTTTCAAGTTCTTTTCCTATAATCATAATATTTTAAATAAAAGAAATATCTTTTTATTATTATTATTCGATTATATCTAAAATTTTTTACTTCATTTAATTGTAATTTTATTCTATTATTAACATATAATGATCATCTTTTAATAATTATATTTTTGCTTCGGCCTCCTTTTATATATTTTAACTTAAAGGAGGTCATATATTGCTTTTAATTTTTCTATCTAAAACTCTTTTACATGTTACTGTTTTTTTAAAATGATTATTTTGAATACATTCAGGACAATATAATCGATTTTAATCATTTTCTTCTTTTTCAATATTTATATTAGTAATATTATAATCTTCGTTATCAATATTAGGATATTTTTAAAGAGCTGACAGACTTTAAAAATTTTAAAACTGCATCTATTATTAAGAATTGTATATTAAGTTATTTTATTATTAGTTAATATTATTATTATTAAATTTTATTTTAACATTTTCTTTATTTAAATCTTATTATTACTTATTAAAATATCTTTAAAACATTTTTTTAGTAATTGTGTTTTTGTAAATATATAATATTTATTTAATAAATATAAAAAATATTTATATAGATATATATATATATATATATATATATATATATATATATATATATATAATAAATTTTAAGATATTTTATAACATATTAATTTTTTCATTATTATTTTTAAATTAGAATTTTATAATACAAATATTTTTTTTATAATTTATATGAGTTTTTTTTATAATAAATATATATTTTTTTATTATATTAAAAATTCAAATTTAAATATTATTAATACATATGAAAAATAAATTAATAATAATAAAAAGTTATAAAACTATATATATTTTTTAATTTTTGTTTTGATATATAAATTTATTTAAATATTTATTAATTTAAAATATATCTTTTAAACACTTTTTTTTATTTTCATATAAATTTGAATTTTTTTCTTTAGTTGTTACAATAAAAAAACAAAAATTATTTAAAAATCAATAAATGGGAAACAAATAAATAAATGATTATCATCTTTAAACAAATTAAGAATAATAAATAAATTAAGATTAAGAATAATATGAACATATAGAATAAATTGAAAATTTTTTAATAAAAACTGAATAAATTATAAATTAAGAATAAATTCTAAATGAAGAATAAATTATAGACCAAAAATAGATTGTAAAGTAAGAATATGATGATAAAATAGAATTTGAAAAAAGAAATAAAGATTAAAGTACACAAACAATTACAATAGAGGAAGATTAAAACCAAATTTTATTTTAATTTCAATATTTGAAATATAAACTAGAATCGGTTTGTGAAGAGTTAAATTAATGTAAATAAATTATTAATGGATAAATATAAAAAAAAATTGATAAAGTGTTAGAAGTTTAAAAAAATTAAAATAATTTTAATGATCTTAAATTTATTTAAATTAAAAATAAATAAATCCAAAAGGATAAAAAATATTAAATTAATAATAGTAATGAATTCAAAAAGAAAAGAAAAAAATGGAAAAATTTAAGATAAACAGACGAAAACGAAATTCATTTATAATAATAAGTTAATAAAACTAATATATAAATTGAAGAACTTGTTAAAAAAATGCCAAATAACATTATAAAATGAATAAAATTATAAAAAAATAATTTTAATATATAAATTTAAAGAATATATATAAATATAAACATATAATTATATATAATACTAATATATTAATAATTTTTTTTAATAAACACAGATTTTTTTTTTTTTTATCTAATAATAAAATTATATTAAATAATAAAAATATTATAAAAGTAATTATTTTATTTTTTATTTTGAAATTTTTGAAAAATAAAATTAATATCATTTGAAAAAAAAAATAATAAATAAAAGAATAAATATATTATAAATAAAAATTAATAATATTAAATATAAGAAAAAAAAATATAAATTATATATATGAAATATTTAAAAAATTATAAAAATTAAAAATTTAATATATATATATATAAAAAAGAATAAAAATATTTGATTTTTATTAATAGGAAAAATAGATACATTTTTGGTATAATTTTAAATTAATATATAAAATTTATATTTATATGAAATTATAATAAATAAGTATAAATTAAATATAATATAAATAATTTTTATAGTAATTTATGATTTTTTAAAATAAATATTTTAAAAAGTATAAATAAAGTTTCAATAAAATAATATAATATTTATTATAAATAAATGAAAAAATTAAAACATTAAATCTAATAATTATTATTATATATTTAAAGATAAAATAAATATTTAAAGATATACTAATAATTAATTTATGATATTATATAAATATAAATATTTATATTGTAATAATATATAAATATGTGATTTTAATATATATAAAATAAATAAAAAAAAAATATAATTATATCTTTAAAATTTATATTAATTTATTTTAAAAATTATAACGCATATTAATATATATTTTTGATTAATTTTTTATATTTTTTCTTAAAAAAAATTAAATAATGAAATTTGAATCATTAATATATTTTATAAAATATATAAAAAAATACAAATTAATATAATATATATATATATATATATTTAAATTATTTATATAAATATATATTATTACAATTGTATTCATATATTTATATTTTTATCATTATAAACAATTACATTATTATTATATATTTTTTTTCATTTTAAATTTATAAATTAAATAATTTTTTTTTAAAAATGTTAATTTTTTTGTTTTATTTTTTTTAAATTCACTATATTTTATCATAATCTTTCAAAGAACTAATTTTAAACAAATTATATAATGTCAAGCAAGTAAAACCAAATTATAAAATAGTATAAAAAAAATAAAAGTAATCCTTACAATAAATATTTGCTTTTGATCTTTCAAAAATAGATAAAGATAATATATATTTGATAGTTTAAATAACTTATGATCAAACATAATTAAATAAAATAATATTAGGCTACGGAAACACTATTAATAATTATTATATGTTTAATGAACAGATTTTATAACAACTTAATTAATAAATAACATTAGATATATTTTGTAATATCTATTTTTTTTTATTTTCAAATAAACATATTTTTCTTATAAAATAGCATTTACTTAATAAAAGTTAACTTAATAGTTATTTATAAATACTTCAGAATTTTAACTATACTCTAAATTGTAATAATTTAAAATTAAAAAAAATTCTAAAAGTTTTTTTATATAAAAAAATTAGGTATTTCTACATATTTAATTTTAAAAAAAGCTAAGTAAAATATAATATTAAGGTTTAACCTAAAAAATAATATGTTTGCTTAAATAATTGCTCATATGAATAAAATAAAGGGAAATGTACAGGTCATGGTAAATGTGCTTGTAAAGATAAGTATATTGGTCCTGATTGTAGTATTTAATTAACATAACTATAAAGAAATAAAAACATAATTTAGTAAATATTACCAAATTAAAACTTTTATTTCGAATTAAGTTTAGAATTAGATGAAACAATTATTTTATAATTTGAAAGGATTTAATTTGATTTTGATGTTTTTATTAGTTTTATAAATAATGATTAATTATTACCTCCTACAATATTTAATAATTAATATTAAAGTTTTCTTAATTAAATTAATAATATTAGTAGTGTAAAGATTTAATCAGAAAATTCAACAGATAATAGAATTGTAATAAATATTAAAAATTAAACTCCATAAAATAACTAATTTTAAATTAAATTTTTAAGTAATTAAGCTAACGATAAATGGTAAATTTGGATAATTTTAGTATTTGTAGGCTGTATATTATTAGTTATTTTATGTATATTTCTTTGTTATATTGAATGTAATAAATATATTTATTTATTTATATTTTATGTACTGCAAAAAAAGATAGGATAACAAAAATTAGGAGTAATTAAATACAAAACATAAACTCAAATTAAAATATTTAAACTTAAATAATAAATTAACAAAACAAAAACCTTGAATATTTAGAAAAATACATGCCAGAATTTAAATATGAATAAATTATAAAAATAACCTCGAAAATAAAAAACTTATATATAAAGGAATGTATTATTTGTTTAAATACTTTTGAAAATCAAGATGCTATAAATATTACTTATTGTAAGCATGTTTTTCATAGTAAATGTATTAAAGAATGGTTAAAAAAACAGGAAGTAAAATATATTTTTTTTTTTAAAAAAAAAAATAATAATAATAATAAAAACAAAAAAGTCTTGTCCATATTGCAGATAATGTTTTAAATAATAAACTTTTGAAAATATATATGATTAAAAAAATAATTAGAATTTTATTTTGATTTAAGAAATTTAAGAGTTAATTGAAAATGCCGACAAATTTGAAGAAATTTAAACAGAAAAAATATTAGAAAATTTAAATACATAAAAAACGGATTAATAATTTTTTTTAAAATCATAATAATAAGATTCATAAGTTATTTATGTTAAAAATAATAATAAATAAGAAGTTAAAAAATAGGAAAAAGATGAGAAATTTTAAATTAAAAAGAAAAAAATAAATAATTTTTTTAATAAAGATAAATAAAAAGACATTGATTATTAAAATTAAATAGAAATTCGTACTCAAAAAATTAAAAGTTAGGACTTTTAAGATAGTTAATATTAAGTCAACAATAATAGTAATAATAATTAAATTTAGTAAAATTTTAAATAATCAGGTACAATGACTATTGTAGATAAAGTAGATACAGAAAATGAATAAATAAATGGATAATTTAAAGATCAATGAAAAAAAAAAAAAAAAAATTATTTTGAGATATTATTTAATTATTAATTGTTAAAAAAAAAACAAAATAAAAAACTTAATATTAATATATATTTCTATTTTTTTAGAAATTCATAACTACTTTTATTTTTTATCTTTTATTATTAAGAATACTAATATTATTTAAATTTAATATAATAAACTGCAATAAATATTTGGAATAAGTAAAAATATATTTTAGTCTTTTAATCCTTATAAAACCCATAAACAACTGTTAAATAAATTCATTATTAACTAATTTAAATTAAAAAAAGATTTATCCCATTATTTATATCCTTTAAGCTTTTTTTTCATAAACAAAAAAAATTAAAAAATTATTAATAATTTTTTTATATAATTAATATTTAATTGTTTCTTACTATTGGTTCCCATTACGAACTTTCGGAAATTAATTATACTATAGTACATGTTAATCCTATTATATCTTTAGGAAATTAGAGTAAAATTAAAAATTCTATAGGCGCTAAGATAAGTACTAATAAAAGTTTTTTAAATTCTTTTTTAATCATGACACAAATAAAAAATAAAAAAACATAACTAAACAGTTTTTATTACAAACATTTATAAGTATGTCATTTTAATATAAATATCCTAATACTAACCATGATAAGTTCATTAAAAATGTTGCCATAAAAACATTAGGTTAAATTTGATTAATATTTTTGTTTTGTGAGTATTATAAAATACTATTAAAGGATTAAATAAATTTATATAAGAATATACCTATATAATATTAAAATAAATTTAAAAAAAAAATATATATATATATATATATATATATATTATATATTTATATATTTTACTTCTATTATTGTTTCTAAAGTTATATAATTTTTCTCCATTTCTAATCAAAATATTTTTCTTCTTATAATATTTTATTTTTATTTACTTTATAAAGGCGTTTTTATTATATAATTTTATATATAAAAAAAAATTTAAAAATATTTTTTTATAAAAACTAAATAATTTAATTTACAAAATTATTCTTTTTTTTTTTTTAAGAAAAAAAAATATTATTTAATAAAGTTCATAATTTTTCTTAAAAATTATATAATTAATATTTAATCTATAATAAATAATATTATATTTTTAAATTAAAAAAAAAAATTATAAATTTTTAGTTTTATATTTATAATTTAATATAAATTTTAAAAATTAAATGTGTTTATTATTTTTAATTATTATAAAAAAATTGCATTATTTTTAATAAAATATATTTAAAAAAAACGAGAAATTATGATTATTTTAATTTTTTTATAAAAAGAAATTCACAAAATAAAAATATATTATAAGAAAAAAAAGAAAAAAAAATGGATAATCCAAAAAATTAAAATTAATTAGTAATATAATAATAATAATAGTAATAATAAAATTAATTATAAGTGATTGAACAATTGTAACAAAAAATCATAAAGTTGAGTGTAAACAAAGCAAGTCAATTCATGAAAACTCTGTTTGCTACTTTTTTTATTATAATATTTATTTCTTTGTACTTTTTAGATTTTAAAAAATAAATTAACTCAGATGTTGAATTAATCTCTATGAATTAACATCAATGCAAAATAAATTATTAAAATAATGATTGTGAAGGAAGGCTTAATGAAAATGTTTGTATAAATCCAATTTAAATAGGGGCTGAAAATTGTGCTGTAAATAAAAAATTTATTTAAGATTGTTAAAGTTGGAAATTTTGTATGAATCGAAATGTAGAATCATAAATAAGCTATATAAGGATAATAATTAGAATTTTTACTGATGCTAGTAATTAAATGTGTGATGCATTCAAAAACTGGGATTAAAAACTTGTTGGATTAGGATTAGTATTTGTTTTAGTTTATATTTTTGTATAAATTTTTAAATGACTAGATTTATATTTATATATTATAATGTTTTTACTATATGGAGAAAATTATAATTTTTGTACAAATTTTTATAAGTTTAATTATTATTTTTTTTCTTTTTAATTTTTATAAATAATATTTGTTGATTTTTGGTTTGATATTAATTTAAGACTTCATATTAAAATTTAAATTTTTACTTTCAAATATAGCATATTAATTAATATAAAAAATAAAAATTATAATATCTTTTTTTAATTTTTTTGAAATTAATTTACATCAATTTTTTTTTTTAAAAAATAAATAAATATATTATATGCATAAATGAAATTTTTATTTTAATATAAACATTTTTATATTTTGTCTTAAATAGCTATCTCAATAATAATAAATTAACTAATTTAATTTTTTTTTTTTTATCTATTTTTAATATATTTAAAATATAATTTTTTTAAAAAATTTCATTTTAAAAAAAAATATTAATAAAAAACAATTATAAATTATATTTTTTAGTAGTAATAATTTTTTTAAAAAATTAAAAAATAATATAATTTTTTTTTATATATTAAAATTAATATTAATTTTTAATTAATTATAGAAACATATATTCATTATTATTGAATTTCTTCTTCTCTTATACTTCCATTAGATTAATCTTAAACATCATTATTATTTAAATCGTTTTATAATTATTCTCTCTATTATTATTATTCACCTTATTATTATACTTATTGATATTGCTATAGATATAATTCTTATTATTATTAATTATTATTTCTTATTATTAATTTCATAAATATTATTATTATTATTATTATTATTATTATTATTACTATTATTATTACTATTATTATTACTATTATTATTACTATTATTATTACTATTATTATCATTATTAACAATAATACTAATTATATTACCATTATTATTATTATTATCAATATTACTATTAACATTACCATTATTATTATTATTTCTATTATTACTATTATCATTATTAATATTATTATTATTGTTATTATTGTTATTATTGTTATTATTATTATTATTATTTATATTTGGATTTCCTCTAAAAATAAAGGTCGTAATAGGTATTCTAAAATACTAATTATGTCTTTATAATAATGATATTTGAACTGAATTTCCATCTAATAAATCATATAAATTATCTTCACTTTCTTCATATTCTTCATCACTTTATTCTTCACTTTCTCCTAAATTAATATTTTATTGTTCTACTGTAATATGGTCATTTTCATTTTCGAAATATTCTTATTCATCTTCTTCTCTGAATTATCTTTATTTTTTTTGTAAAACGCCATAAGAAACCTAAATAATACTCCTTTATATAATTTTTTATATTTAAAAAAATAAATATTAATAATGTATTTTAACTCTTTATGAATTTCCCCATTCTAATCTTTTTTGATTAACATGAATTCTTAATTAAAGCTTTCTCTTCCTACAATAATAGGACCAACTAATACTCCTCCGTGTGCTAATTAATGAATAAACCTATTTACAGCTTTCATAGTAGCAGCTGCACCTAAATGAATAATATCAAAAGGTGCAAAATCCTCCAATCCATGTCTTCCATCTCCTAAACAGAGTACTATTTTTCCTTTCTCAAGTTTATCTTTATGGCTTTTAATAATATTCTTCTTAGCTATATTCAAAACTCCTTATAAATGATCAATTCCGTATACTATAGAATCTTTGTTTTCCATTAATTCTGATAAAGCAACAGTAATCCAACCACTACCTACTCCTATATCGAGTGCTTTTACAGCTGTTTTGGTATATCCTTTTATTAATTCTAAAGTAAAAGCATGCATATGAGGGGCACTTATAGTAGTATTAAAGCCTATATTTTATGCTATATCTTCATATCTTTATATATACATTTTTTTTAATTAAAAAAATAAAATAAAAAAATTACGGATTTTATGTAAAATCTTTACGATCAACTTTTAACATAATTTATTCTATTTCTGGAGTTTTAAGATAACTTTTTTCATAAAGTTTTTTTAATAGTTTAGAATATTTAATATCTTATATATGTTTTAATTAGGTTAGTAAAGAATATTCATCAGATTATGCAATTTGGTTTATTTTTAATATATTTTAAGATGCCTAGTTTAAATATTCTTTATATTCTTCTGTTTTTTGATTTTATAAGTATGAAAAATCACCTGTAAGATTTTTTTCTATTTTTATTTTATTTATGACGTTTTTTTCATCTTCAATTAAAAGATTTTCATCTAAATTTTTATCCATTTTTTCCAGGTCAGGAATAATGCATTATTGTTCAAATTCAGAGATTTTAATTGTTATTTCCTCGACACGATCTTGGAGGAGAAATTCGATTTATTCTAAATAATTTATCATGTTTTTTTTAGTTATTTGGAAGTTCTCTTGGATGTTCTTGGCACTTTTTTAGATTTAGCGCACTTTTAGTGCATTTTGTTCGCGGCCTTTTCGATATTTTCTTAAGATATTATTCTCTTCTTCTTCTTCGTTTTATTATACTTTCATTTTTGTTTATTTTAAATTTTTTGTTATATTATTATTATTATTTTTTTTATCTGCAAAAAATAAATAAATATATATAAGTATTTTAATATTTTTGAATATTTATAATAAATAATTATAAAAATATTACTATAATTTTTTGTTTTTTATAATTAAGTAAATATAAGGTATGTTTATTATAAACAAAACAAAAACTAATATTATATATATTATTATAATAACAATCTTTGTATTAAGGTATTTTTTTGAATTTTGATTTTAGTAGTATATCATTCTTTTTAAATTAAATAGTATGATAATTTGATATAGAACTATAAATAAATTATATAATAGTATATATAATAGTATTTTATATATTATTATTAAATATTTATTATTACTTTTCATAATTTTAATTTTCTTTGTAATAATTAAATTAAGTTTCTATTTATTTAATTTGAATAATCTATTTAAATTTTTTTAATATTATTAATAAGTTTTAATAAAAAAAATATACTATTTTGAATTTATTTAATCAATTTTTTTTTTTAAAAAAAAAACATTAAAATACTTTAAAATCTTAATGTTTATTTTTATAAATTAATTATTATAAACATATTTAGTTTTAGAAAAGTAATTTTCTTTTATATTTTTATTATTTAAAATAATAATATCAAATAAAAATAATATAAAGAGTACTTATAATGCATTTTTAATTTTGAAAATAAGTCCCATAGTTCATTATTAAACAGTTGAATTTTCAAAATATTTAATTTAAATGCAATTATAAACATATTATTATTTATACCATAAAAATAAACGCCTTATATTGCGTTAATTATTTTATAGTCCTAAACGAATATCTTATATCATAAAAAAAACCTTTTTTTCTTACATAAATACATAGTTTAATAATTATTTTTATATTTAATGAATTATTTAAATTAAAAAAATAAAAACTAAAAATATTTTTGTTATACATAAAGTTTAAATTGATTGAAATTATTAATAAAAAATACTAAAAATTAACTAAATTTTACAATTATATATATATATGATTAATGAATAAAATTTATTTACATATATAATCTGCGTGAAATTAATAATAGATTGCATTAAAATATTTTAAATAGCAATTATTTATATTGAAATAAAACAAGTTTATACATATATTTAAATTTCCACAATAAGCCTTAATTATATTATCTAAACTATCACCAAATCCGTTATATAGAAAAATCTATACATAATAACAAATAGAAATTCCGGTTTATAAAAACAAACATCCTTTTCACATTTTGAGCAATTATTTGGGTTATAATTAGTGTATTCTTAAAGTCAAAAATTACAATCTTCGCATATTTGAGCCTTTGAATTTAGTTATTTACTAGCCGAACATGTAGTTTGGCAAGATAAACTATATAAAAAGTTGCATGAAGTACATGAAAAGCACTGTTGTTTGAATAAAGTTATTTTGTATATATATGATAAACATTTTAAATTACAAAAATTTTAATAGGCAATATTTAATAAATATTAATTATAAACGACATTTTAAAATTACTATATGAAAATGGTATAATGTATTAATAAATATATTGTAAATAACATAAAAATTAAATAAATTTTTATTTTTAAATTTAAATGAGATATATTCAGAATTTTTAGTTTTTAACAAAAAAATAAAAATAATTTTAAGAAAATATAATTTTAATAAAAAATTAATTTATATTTTATCATTTGTTTATTTTAATACAAATAAATTTATGATTGATATATAAAATCATAAAAGATAATATAATTTTATATTAATAAATATTAGTTTATTATAAATGTTTATATTATTATTATTTTTTAATAATTAATAAATATAAATTAATTTTTTTTTTTTTAGCTTTTATAAGATTATTTATAGAATAAATAGCAATTAATAATAAAATATCTTACAAATAAAGTACAACTAACATCTAATTAAATGAATAGAAACATTTTTAAACAAAAACAAAAATATAAGTTTAATAATTTTTAATTTTTTTATATATTTTTCTAATGTCTTTTAAGATTTTTATAAAATTTTATAATTATTTAAATAAAATTTAAATCTTTATTTCTTTTACCCTTTTTTTTTTTTTTAATTTTATATTTATTAATAAAAAAATTAATTTAAAAATTAATTATTTAAGTTAGAAAATTCACATAATAATTAATTTTTTTTATAATTTTAATTTCTTTAATAAATTATATTGGATTAATTTCAAAAAATAAAATAAAAATAAGTATAAAAATGGGTTCTTGTATTTCCTCTAGTTCAATTTTAAGTAAAAAATAAAATAAAAAAAGCTTACAAATAAAAAAGAAAAAGATTCAAAAAAGTAAATTTCCTAATAAACAGTAAAACAATCAAACGAAATAGATAGAAAAAGAAAATTAAGTGTAAAAAAAAAAAAAAATCATATTTTTTATATATATATATATAAAAAAAAAAAAAAAGATAAACTACAAAAAAATTCCAAATAAAATCCACAAACAAGAATCACGATTATTCTAAAATTCATAAAATCTATAAATATATGGATTAGTAGGATTATATAATTTAGGAAACACATGTTATATTAATGCAGGTAAAAAAAATAAAAAACAAAAACAAAAAAAATTATTAAAAATCAATAAAAATCAGTAAAAAAACTTACATTAAAAAAAATAAAATATCAGCCTTATAATGTTTATCAAATACACCTCCATTATGCGATTATTTTTTGAGCCAACTTCATGAAAAAGAAATAAATCCAAATGCATTTTTAGGTTCTAATGGATAAATAACATCCTAATTCGGGAAATTAATACTCGATCTATGGTAAACAGACTAAAACTTTATAGAACCAATAGATTTTATAAATGAAATAGGCCAATTTGCGGAACAATTTGCCGACGGAACACAATAAGACTCACATGAATTTCTTGCTTTTCTCCTAGATATATTACACGAAGATTTAAATAGAGTAATAAAGAAGCCTTATATAAAAGAAAAAGACTATAATTGTGAAAAGCATGAAGAATACTCCAAAGAATCCTGGAAAGAATACTTAATGAGGAATAAATCTATAATTGTTGATCTATTTTAAGGTTAAACAAAATCCACTTTAAAATGTTTAGTTTGTGGTTCCGTTTCACATAAATTTGAGGCTTTTTAATTTCTTTCAGTACCTGTTCCTGCAAATAAATCTCATAATGAAATCATTAATTTAAGTGAATGTATTTAAGAATTCACAAAGGAAGAATATTTAGACTAAAATGAATGGTGGTATTGCTTTAAATGTAAAAAAAATAGAAAATCAACCAAATAAATCGATTTATGGAAATTACCTAATATTTTAATTATTCATTTAAAAAGATTCAGATTTGATAAAAATATTAAAGCCAAAATTAAAAACTTTGTTGATTTTCCTATTCAAAATTTTGATCTATAACCTTATACTATAGGAAGATAAAGAGATTAACCTATATATGATCTTTTTGCAATATCAGTATTGAATTATTTCAAAATAAATGTATATTAACAAAAAAACAAAAACAAAATAGAATCATGAAGGTAACCTTAGTTCTGGACATTATACTGCTTATGCGAAAAATAGAGCAAATTAAAATTGGTATTTATTTGACGATTGTAATGTTTAATAATGTCTAAAAGAATAGGTAAATAATATATATTTTTATAATTTAATTTTTATATTTATTTTGAGAAAAAAAAATATAAAGATAATGTTTTATTTTTTAAAAAAATTATATATATTCATATAATTAAATATATATATATATATATATATATATATATATATATTTTATTTACATATATATCTATATATAATTATAATTATTAATTTAAAAAAGATTAAAAGTGAAAAAGCTTATGTCTTATTTTATTCAAAAACTACTGTAGATGAGTTTTTTAGATAAACTTTGTCAACTCCTGAAAGTTGGCCCCATTTTTTTAAAAAAGAAGTCTAAGAAACCTAAATAATAAAAAAAAAATTTACTTATAATTTTAAACATGACAAGTTTGAATAATATGATAGTAAACTATAAAATATAATCAGTTAGAAAAAAAGTTAGACTATTATATAACTTAATAATGAGTTAGTCTAAAATAATTAATTTAATAAGGAAATAAATGAGGTTAAATAATCAAATTATTAATAATAATATGATTTATATCAAGCTAATTTTGATATCACTCCTTCGTAAGATAATAATAAAGTTAATGATTTTAGAAACTTTAATAATTATATAAAATCCTCCGTTATATAAATAAATAGAAATAAGTGATTGCATTTGCATTTATATAATATAAAATTAATTTTTTTTAAAGATTAATAATTATTTATCACATATATATTTTTTTCTCAATCATATTTTTTCTAATCTTTAATTTTCATAATAAAATATTGTTATGTCATGTAAAAAATTAATTATTAATTTTGTTTATTAATTTTTTTAATATTTTTAATTTTTTTTATAAAAAAAAAATCAATCTTATAATTCATTATACATTTATATTTATTTATATAATTAATTATTTGTTTATAATGAATATTCTATAGTAGCATTTTGATAATAATTAGGATAATTTTTAATATTATCTATGACTTAATTTAAATTATGTGCCCTATCGCAATTCATAGAATCATTTATTAAATTTATATGTGTAAAATGTATATGAAAATGATAAAAAGTAGGTTAATAATGAATATAGTTTTTTAATTAATTTTTTCTAACTCCAAACTTATCTTAAATAACATTAATCTTTTATATTTGTTTAAAATAAAAATATTATAAAATATATAATATACTCCTTTATTTTAAATATTTTATAATAATTCTAATTTTTAATAATCTAAATCTCTCAATGATCTTATATCTTTTCTTCTAACTATAGCAATTAAATGTAAATTATCTATATTTTCAATATTCTAAAATTTATAATCTTTTAAAATCACAAATCCATTATTTTCGTCTTTATCAGAATATAATATTTAATCTTATTCTGATTATCCATCTAAAATATTATAAACCCATTATAGACTATCATATTCGATATTTAAAATATGTTTTTTAATAATCTTTTTTTTTAATATTTTTTTTTTTTTTTAATATATAAAAGTTAAATTATATTTTTTTATTTATAAATTATACATTATTATATAATTAAGGACTCTCTTTTATTATTACCAATTCAGATTTTTAATATTTATTAATAAGTTTCGTAGAAGCAGGATAAATAACTTATAAATCGATTTAATTCCATTAGTTATTTGTTAAATTAATAAGATATTTATAAAATATATCATTCTTTTTAAAAATATTTTTCAATAAAAAAAAAAAAAATGATACTTAAAAATATTATTATATTTATTCTATTAAAAATAAATTATTATTATATTTTTCTTAAAAACAACACTTTTATACTAAAAGTAAAGCTTTTTTTTCAACATCATCAAAATATCCTAATAAAGCCAATTAATTATTATATGTATTGTTGTTTAATATTTTCTCAAACTTAAATTATTATATATTTATCATATTTTATACAAGTATTTAATATAATAATCTTAAAAATAAATTGATTTTTTTTATTATAAATATAAAAATTAAAAAAAATATTTATAAATATATATATATATTTATATATTTATATATATATATATAAAAATGTTTTTTAATTAATAATTTTTTTAATACTTTTAATTTGAAGTAAACTCATTTATTTTCATTTTTATCATGAATTTTTTTTTTAATAATTTTTATAAATTAGACAATTATTAATAATTTATAACAAAATTCGATAATTTTAGTAATATATTATAACTAAAAAACTTTTATAAAATGCATAAATATTTTTATTAAGAACAACTAATTTATCTTAAATAATTTATATATAATTTTTTTTATAATCCATAATTCCTAATAAATTTATAAAAATAACAATCAAAGACATAAAAAGAATCTTTTAATTTTTTTTAAATAAAATTAAACTATATTTTTTAAAACAATTCTTTTACTGTTCAATAAACTATAATTCCCTTAATAAATATTACTGTTAGTAAAATTGAAGTATTCTAATATTATTTTTATTATATGATATGATTCCTAAATAAATAATGCCTTAATTGTATATATATAATTTAAATTAATTTTCTATAATAATTATTATAGTACATTGATATATATTTATTATAATTATTATTAATTTAATCTATTTATATTCTAATTAAATTTTTATAAACTTATATTTATCTTATTTAGATATTGTTTATTTTTGACTCTATTTTTATTCTAAATTAAATATGCTTAAATATGCATTAACGTTTACTGATATATATATTATTTTTTAATTCTATATTTGATTTTTCATTTTTTTTATTTAAATTTTAATAAAACAATATATAATTGTAACCATAAAATAATTTTATTATTAATCATATATATATTTCATAGTATATATGAGATTATTTGTATATTGAAACATGCATTTTTAATAGATTTTTAATTTTGAAATAAATAAATAAATATATATGTAAATTATTTTCAATTAAATAAATATGTAAATAAAAGAAAAAAAAATACTTTAAAAACATATAAAAATACATTTATTTAATTAATAAAAATAAATAAAAAAATATAAGGAAAAAAATAAATTAATTATATATAAATATATATATATAAAAAATAAAAAAAAGAAAAGAAAAAAGAAAAAAACAAAACAAAACAAAACAAAAATATATAATTGAAAAAAAATAAAATGAATCAAATACCGACTGATCCATAAAGCACCTCTTTTAATTAAGCTCCATTATATAAAATAATGAAAAACGAAGTCGAATTACCAATAACAAAAACAAACGATCCTAACAGTTTATTTTTAAGGACCTAAGCATCTCGTTTCTGGAATAGAATAGGTCATACAGGAAGAGCATTTCCTAAAAGATCACTTTATTTAGGTATATTTGGAGTTTTTTCATTAAGTATGGGTTTCTTAACAAAATTAGAATCGAAAAGAAACCATAAAAAAGTCGAATAAATGAAAGAATAAATGGCCCTTCCATAATTAGAAATAAAAGAAGCAAAACAACTATTTGACGAAAATACTAGACCAAACAGTCTTTATAGAACAATAAAAATAAAAGGAAGACCTATCCATAGAAAAGGAATGATGATTCCAGTAAAATCATACGGTTTATATGGATATGAATATCTTGTTCCTTTAGTAACATTTGAGAATGAAGATGAATCACATTAAGAAGGATTTATTTTAAATTTAGGATTTATTCCTCAAGAATATGCTGAAATTTCTTAAAGATGTAAAATAGAAAATGTTGAAATTTAAGAATTTACTTGTGTAGTTAATGATTCTTAACATTTATAAAAATAGGGAGGAATTTTTGCAAAAAATGATCTTGAAAAAAACAAATGGGAATATGCAAATTTAAAATAATTAACATAGTTTACAGGTTCTATTTTTATTTGAATTTTTGTTATAAAATATATATATATATATATATATATATATATATATATATATATATATTTATAAAACAAAAAAGAATTCAAAAATTAAGAATAATGTCAGTCTTTTATACTAGAATAAGTTAATCCTAATACAGAACTTAATGAAAAAAATTGTTAACATTTAAATATTAATAGTGATTATAGAGAAGATTATCCTTATATATTCACTAGAAGTGGAATTCTTTAATAAGGAGATAGAATGTATTGGAATTTAAATAAATATTCAAATAATTATTTATATATGGGATGTACTTCTCTTTTAATTAGCGCGCTTTTTACTTTAGCTAAATGAAGGAAATATTTCTCTTTTTTTTTTTTTTTTCGAAAATAAAAAAAATATAGGAAAATTTAAATTTTCCCCACCTCTTATGTTATTTTTTAATATTTTTTTTTTTAGTATGTATATTTTTTTTTTTTTTAAATATTAGTAAATAAGAAATGTTTTTTTATGTTTTTTTTTTAGTAATTTATAAAAATATATAAATAAAAAAAAACAAACAAACATAAAATTGTATATTTTTATAAAAAAATATCAAAAAGTTTATTCATTTTAAAAAAATAAATAAAAATATTTTAAATAAATAATAATATTTTTAAATATAAAATATATAAAAACTATTTAATAATTAAATAAATATGTAAAATTACGTAAATTTATATATATATAAAAATATATATAAATATATTTATATACATATACATATTAAATTTATTTTTTTATTATTATTAATATTCAAATTATTTTTGGTAATTCTGAATGTTTTTAAAATTTATAATTATATTCTAATTCAGTTTTTATAATCCCTAATTCTTTTTTCTAATAATAATTAATAAATTAAATATTTATAAATAAATACCATATAAATTTCAATAACTTACATATTTTTAGCTAAATTTATGTATTTTTATTAAAGATTAATAATTTAATTATTTTAATCATAATTACCAAAACTAATTGATTCAAATTTATTAATTGTTTAATCCAATATATTTTAAACTTAATTAATTTTTCTATATATTTGTAATATAAATATAATTCTAATATATATATTATATATAATATACCCTAATGATTAATTGACAAAATTTTAAATTTTATAAAAAATATCATTTTAATTATTATTATTATCTACTCTTATATTTATTTTATTTTAATCTTATTATATAAAAAAATAAATTATAATTATAAATAAATAAAAATACTTATAGAGTATTCTTTATAAGAATTCTATATATTAAACTTTTATTTCTTTTAGTTATTTATAAATTATTCTAAAACAATAATCTTTTTTTCTAATATAATTAAAATTGGATTTAATTTATTAAAAATGCTTTCCTATGCTACAGCTACAGCTATAGTGAATATAAACTACATAATTTTTTGGATATATTAACTACAATCAAGTTTTTTAATAGTGTTTTTTATATGATTTTATATAATATTTTTTTAAATATCCTTTAGTTCTTTAAAATATAATTAATTTTTAAAATAAACTTGATTATAATCAGAATTGATTAAAATTTATTATAATCCAACAACTGTTTTTTCGAATTAATTTTATACACATTAAGTAGAATAATTTATAATTTCAAATTATTAATCGAATTCTTGTTTAACTTATTTAATTTTATAATGTAATTCAGAAACAGTCATATTGCTAATTTCTTCAATTTTATCTATATTTTATTCTAAGTTATCAACTTTAAATTCAGTTATTTTTAAGACTTCTATTTATTAACGTAATTATAAAATTTAATTTTATAAAAAAAGGTTTTCTTATTCAAATTCATGAACTTTTGATTATAATAAGTTACATTGATTATTCTATTATAATATATATATATATATATATATATATATATATATATATTTATATTCCTTTATTTTATTTTATTTTACTAATTTTGTATTATTTAATATCAAATCTTCATTATATTTTATTGTATATTATAATTTTTCATTATTTTCGTACTTTTAATAAATAAATGATTTATTATTATTTTTTATAATAAGTATATATTACATTTTTATTTTCCTTTTTTTTTAATTTAAATAAATAAACATATAAACTAGATATTATTTTACTTATAATTTCTATATAACGTTTTTTAATTTATCTTTAATATTATTATATTTTTTTGAATATTAATTAATTTATTCTTTATATTTTATTTCTTATTCCTATAATAATTTTATTTATTAATTAGCTTAATTAAGTTATAATAAATTTTCCTATAAATTCTTATTACTTTCATATAATTTATTACATAAATTATATTATTAATCATTTTCTATACATCTGCTTTATATAATAGTTTATTTTAGTAATTGTTTTAATTACAATTTTCACATAAACTTTAATTTCTTCTTCTTGTTTAAAAGCTTTAATTATTTGATTGTAAACTAGATTCTTTTAAAATATTATTTATATCTTTTTTTATTAATAATTTAAATCTTTAAAACTGTTATTGACATTATTATTTGTAATAGGATATTTAGGAATATTTAAACTAATATTTTAATTAATTTATTAAGTTAATACATCTAAGTATTCATCTGTATCAATTTTATTTATTATATTATGTGCTTTGCTTAATAACTAAGCATTTTTTTTTAATTAATTTAATAGTTGATAATCTGTTTATTAATTAATTATTAAAGATTAACTGTTTCTTTACTAATTTTGATATGTTTATTAGTCTTATTATTAAATTTTAAATTTTATTTGTTTTTCTATTTATTCTTTATTTTTTTATATGGATTCATAATTTGATAAAGGAAGGCTCATATTTGAAAACTAACTTTATTATTTATTATTTTATTTTTTTAATAATTATAAATAATTTTTTTATTTAAATTTAAATATAGCTAAACAAAACAAAACAAAAAAATATTATTATTTAAATTAAAAAATAAAATTTATTATTTTATATTGGAAATTTAATATTAATTTACTTATTTATTATTACTAATTTTTTTCTAAAAATTGCTTACATTAATAATAATATTAGTACTTTTTAATAAATATACATATATTTAATATCAAATAAAATATAAAAATCTATTTTAACAATTTTATTCTTATATATATTAAATTATTTTAAATAAAAAAATAACATTTATAGGAAATCGTTAGAAAATTACATTTTTAAAAATAAAAAATATAAAAATGAAAAATATATTATCATATTGTAATAATTGTAGACAACTTCCAGAAGATATATTAATGTTATAATGTAGACATGATTTATGTTTAAATTGTGCATCTTTAATATTTACATCTGAAAATATTAATCCTGATTCAAAAGTAATATTAATTAATTTTTTTTTTTTAACAAAAAATATAAATTAAAAAAAGATTATAACCTGTTTAACATGTGGCAAATGCACATAATTAGAAAAATAAACAGTATATTAATTGTAAAAAATAAATATTGATAATTAAATCCAAACAAAAATATTATAATCGGCAGACTAATAAAAAATTTTTATTATTCAAAATATAATTCAAATATAAAACAACTAGAAGATATCTAATTTAAATCTCCTTAAAAATAAAAAAATACTATAATTAAAGAAAAACTCCCAATTAAGGAAAATTACAATTTATTTATAGAATCACCTTTATCTCCTTTATATTAGTAAATTGTGTTCTTCATATTTATTTTTAAATAAAAAATATAAAATATAAAATAAAAGGATTAAAAAATATAAATGCTAAGATCATCCAGAAGAAGATATTTCATATTATTGTTTTTAATGTTTATCTAAATCTATATGCCCGGAATGTATTATACATGGGTCTCATTAAGTAACTTTTATATTATATTTTCTTATATAAAATTTAATAAAATAAACATTATAAGACTCATGATGTTAAAACAGTTAAAAAAGCTTATCCTATAATGATGTAAAAAATGGACGAATTTTAATAGAATATGGGTTATAAAATTAAGCATATAAACTAAAGAAAATAATAATTAGATACAATAACATAATAATTATTTTCTATTAATAAAGCACTAAAAAATCAAATATAGTTTTGTTTTAATGTGAATAAAAATAAAAAAAATTAAACAAAAAAAAATATTAGGAAGTTCGAATTAAACTTGAAGAAAAGGAAAAAGAACTTATTTAAGTTTGTGATGTAATTCACTAATAAAATATAAAATAAATAGAAAACATTAACTTTAGTTTAGATGAAAAACAATTAGAATTTTAAAAAATTATGAATTTAGTTAGTAAGCAATAAAGCCAATAAGACTAAGTAAAAATATTTAAAATATAAAAATGTAAAATAATTATAAAGATAGCATTTTTAGATTTTTATTCATCTAATTAAAATTAATTATATTAATTAAGAGATGAAAAAGAATGGGAAAATAAATTAGTTTATACAATTCCTTAATTCGATAACATTTCATAATAATAAATAGAATAATAAGTATAAAAAATTTAAAATTTAATATTGTCTTTTGAAATTAATGTTGAAAAAAAAGAATTTAGTAATAACTAATAAAGCCTATTAGATGATTAGTCTTAGTTAAATGATAAAAGCAAATCTTTTTAAACAAGCAATTACAATATTCTTTAAAATAATAATTAAAATACTATTTTGTAAAGTAGTTAAGTTAACTAAGAAATTAATTCATTATAGTAAAAAAATATTATTATTTAGTCGCCAAACTAAATAAATAATTCTAAAAAAATATGATAAGAAAAAAATCTATATATAATAAAGAATGAAAAATATATAATATTATTAAATATAAGAAAATTATACATAATATAACAAAAATATTTTATTTAAATTAATTTCTTTAAAAAAAAATAAAAAAATTGAATAAATGATAGCCTTCGATAATAGATAAAAAAAATACATATAAGTTTTTACAAAAATATAAATTTTTTTTATATATATTAAATTTTTAATATTTAAACTATTAAATACCCCCCCCCCCAAAAAAAAAAAATACTAAATAAATTTTATTAAATAATTAAAAGTAATTTCAAAATTAATTAGAAATAATTCTTATATTTAATTATATGTATTGCATATTATTAAACTAAAGAAAATTCAAATTAAAAAACCGTAAAAAAAATAGAAGTCTATTTGCCATTACCGAATTCAATAAAATACAAAGCAAGTATTGTAAAAATAAGAAAAATTAAACAAAATTATAAAAATAGCAAGAAATACTTTAATTTAAAATTTATGTTTTATATATATAATTTAATCCTGAAAGAAATTATTAAATTTTGAAATTGAAAGCAGATATATTCATTTTAAATACATAATTTATATTTTCGATAAATGGAGCTTATTATAGACTTATTTTGAAAAAACTAACAAGTAAAAAGGCGAAGAAAACGAATTCTTATCTAAGATTTTAATATATGGATGAAAAAAAAAATTAAATAAAATTATATTGAATTAGAAAATTATGTTAGTATTTGATAAAATAATGAAGATTTTTGTTAGCTTTTATTTCAAAAAAAAAGAAAAAAGTTATTCATATATTAGACTTAAAATAAATTTTTATTACAATAATTATAAATAATCAAATTAAAAAGGAAGATTTCAAGAAATATTTTCAAAATAATCAATAAATGAAGATAAAGAAATAGAAAGAAAAATATAAAAGATGGATAAAATAGAAAGAATATTTTAAAGTTATATGATGTTTATTTCAAATGAAATCAACTTTTTTTAAAAAAATAAAGTTAATTTATTAAAAAATATTAAATCTCGAGTAATTTTTGATTTTCGAAATAAAAAAAAATTAATGAAATTATTTATTATATAATTGGAAAAAATACAAATAAATATTAAATATTTTTTTTAAAAAATAAAATAAAAAATAATGTATATTTTGAATATTTAAAGTATTAATTTTTATTAAATTATAAAAAAAATTAGATTAAGAGTTAAATTCTTTTATTTATAATAAAAAACAAAATATTAATTATATTAAAATATATTTCTTTAATATTATTAATTTATATAATTTAATAATAATGTTTAATTAATATAAAGAGACTATTTAAATTTTTAATAAAATAAAATAAAATTTACTTCTATATTTATTATTAAATAACTATATTTTATTATTATATATATATATAAAAGAAAATATTATTTTTTAACATACAAACAAATAAATAATAAAAATTTTTTTATTATAAATAAAAATAATAAATAAATTAACAAAAAATGAATATTTATAACGATGAAGACGATGTATGAATAAAATTAGTATTTTTTTCAAATAATATTAATTATTATTATATTTTCTTTAAATTAAAAAAAATAAAAATAAGAAAATTTTCTGGGTATATAAAGATTAGAATAAAAGCGATAATTTATGTAATTATTCTTATTAAATGAAAGATGATTAATAATTAACACCAAAACTAAATTATAATATAAAAAATAAAACAAAATTAAGTACAAATTAATATCTAGATTATTCTTTTAAACAATAAGACAATAATACAGTATGGGATAATCTATATTAAAAAGTAAAAAATAATAATATTTTACTTAAATTAATAATATATAAATAAAAATAGGGAGTAGAATTGCTTAAAAAAAAAGTTGAAATGCATCAATAAAAAAAGAATGAATAAGACAAAGAATGTACTTTTAAGCCAAAAATGATTTCGAAAAACGACAGATATATTAGTTATGAAAATAATTAATTTTATTAAAGAAATGATGTTTGGGTAGAATAAAAGCATAATAAATTAATTTAATAAAGATAATAAGAAATAACTATTGGATTAAAAGAATGCACTTTTAAACCTTAAATTAATAAGTTCAAGAACAAATCTAAAATTAATATTGAAAAAAGTATAAATAAGATTAAATTTAATAATTAAAATTTATAGAATATTAAATATAGCTAACTTATGTTAAATAATAAAAACTAAACTCAATATTTAAAGGTAATTGATTTTTTATTTTTTCATATTAATATTATTAATAGGAAGATTAGTAATTTAAATAAAATATCGAGAAATTACGTATATTATTGAAAAGTTTTTGAATAAAAAAAAAAATATATTATAAATAAAATTATTAAATTAATGTCTTTATTATTTAAAATAAAAATACGAATAAACTTTTATTCTTATTATTAATATATTTTAAATTTTTTGTTTTTTTTTAAGTTTATTGAGGTCTTTATTAATATTAAATATATTTTAATAGTTTTTAAATTATAAATTATTAGTAATTAATGTAATATTTTATTAGTATAATTATATATATTTAATTTATAATTATCATATATTAATTTATTAAAATATATTTATTTTTAAAAAGTTTTGTAAAAATTATCATTATTAATAATTTAAATATAGTTTAGATTTCTATTATTTAAATTTTATAAAATAAATTAATATATATAAAATTAACATTTTAATAAAATATAATAATATATAATATAAAAATATTGTTTATAATATTTTATTATATATATTTATTATAGTAATTATATATATTTAATATAATATTAAACTTTCTCTTATATTTCTTTATATAATTTATAATATTAAATTAATATATTAAACAAATAAAAATATTATATATATATATATTAATTTTTTATATTAGAATCATATATATATATAAATTGTTATTTTTATATTTAATAATATAAAAATTTTTATCAATTTTTATTGCTTTCTAAATAATGGTTTTTTTCTATTTCAATAATTTGTTGCAAATTTGGTCTTTTCATAATTTTATTTTTAAATCTAATAATATAAATAAATATTATTTTACTTATCAAAATATCTTCCTGAATATGCTAATATATTTTCAGGTTTTTCTTCTAATACTCTAAATAAAAAAACACTAATTATTGTATTAAGTTCTGGGTGTTCTCTTATATAATTTTCATTTGCCATTCTAAATTAAACCTTTTTTATATTTATTTAATTTTTATTAATTATATTTTCTACTTTTTTCTTTTCAACATCAATTTGTTATTTTTAAACAATTCCAACTTATCCTGCTATATCATGTGGATTTATGTGTTTTTCTTTGTTATAAATATCATTTATTTATTACTCTTAAATTAGATCTAATTATTCTTAAAATTCATTAGTTATTTTATCTGAATCTTTGTTGTTTCCTAAATGATCTAATGACATTATTTTAAAATTGTTATTTAACTTTTGTTTTATTAAAAATTTTTAATATTTTATAAAATAAAATTTAAAAAGTTATTTTTTTTGCTTTTAAATATATAAAAAATATAGTTTTTTTATAAATTTTTATAATTCTATTATTAAAAAAAGCTGTCATTTACTCAATTAATTTATAAAATGTTAATTTTTGTCATATTTTATATTAAAAAAAAAATATTAAAGATTTATTTCTTTAATATGTATTTTTTTTTTT